CGGTCCCACAGAGAAGACTTGCCTAAGTAGAATGGCCCTCCTCGGGCCACACCTCCCCCTCATCCGAGCCCCGCTACCACCACCAGACCTCAAACCCCCCACACACCAGAAAACCTACGTCCTTTTGGCGCTCTCACCGCCATTTCCCCCCTCCCCTGTCTGAGCGACCCCACCTCCCCCCGGCTCTCCAGCACCCTACAACCTCGGAGCGGCACTAGGGAAGAAAAGGGGTTCTTCCCTGCACGACGTGACCGCCTCCATTCCCCGTCCTTCTCCTCTCCCTCTCCCGTCTCTGGGTTCCCTCTCACCTATTCCCTTGTCCTCCAACCCCCATCCCCCTCGAACTCCTATACCCCCCCGAGCCCTGCCCTACATACTGAGCTCAAAGCGCTCTTAGGCAATAATTTCCACCGCTTCGGCGCACCGCAGTGCGCCTTCTGAAACGGACAGGATCGGGTGGTCGGGTCCCACCCTGTCCCAGCCTCTCCGCGGGGTGCCCAGCACCGTGAAAGAGCGCAAACGCGCCCAGAAGTCCAGGCGCAGGCCCGCTCCAAGGGGGTTGCTGCGGGTGCTGCTGCCGCCGCGCCTGCCGTTGCTGCTACCGCCCCTGTCGCCGTGTTCCGCTCCTGCGTTTGGTCCTCATCCCCCGGCGCGTTCAGTGCAGGCCCCGTCTGCGGTCCCGCCCCGTCGGCCTGGATGAAAAAGTCCGTTATCCGCCTCTGCCTGGGGCCGGCTACCTGCACCTGCTGCGCGTGCTCCCGGTTCTGTGGTCCTTGGCTCCCAGCTCGTTCCTGCCTCCTGCCCGCTGCCCTCAGGCTGCATCTGCCAACCTCCATGGCAGACAGGGCCGACAGGGCGATAATATCCCATACGGCCTGTTCGCATCCGGCTGGGGCCAGTAATAGCCAGAGTTGCTTTCGGGTGACTCCCCCTACCGCCGCTTCCTGAGAAGACTGTAGATGCCGGTCGATCTGTGCCCGCACCGCCTGCGCCACCGGGCATTCCCAAAAGTGATGCATGCGTGGCGAGCATGGCTGACCAGCTGCTCCACCGAATCCGCCACATCCACAGCGTTCTGGAGTCATGCGGGCTAGGTGCGTGTTGCCCGGTAGGGGGACGCCATCCACCGCGAGCCGCCATAGGGTCTCCTTATTCTCATTCTCCCATAGTACCCCGGACCATAAGCGGGCCTGGGTCGCCCTGAATAGGCTGATTTCCAACGGGGGCGGCGGCAACGGGCCCTGAGGATCCGTCGCCTCCCGCACATATTCAGCCACCAGGCGTCTTCTCCTCTCCTCCATAGGCCCACATTGCAGCTGTGTCGCCAGGCGAACCGTGAGGCGTGTCAGCGGGATGGCTTCCGCCATCCCAGGTATACGCCACCCAATTCGCCCAGCAATCATGCCCATCGCTTGCATGCTGGTCAGCAGTGGTGCTGGTGACAGTATGGCAGCCTCCTCCCCTACCGTTGCTGCTGCCATCGGTTCCGTTAGCCCCCGCTGCTGCTGCTGCTGCTGCCGCCGGGTCTCAACCGTCCTAGCAGCTTCGAGCCAGGCCGGGTTAATGCTGCTATGCAGCGCCGCGAGGGCTGCCAAGGTCACGGGTCTATCCCGCGTGGAGATCGGGGTAAGCGGGTCGAGGTGAGTCCGGGCCCACTCCAGCCATACCATCCCAGGGAGGGTTGCCAGATCGCTGCTCCCTGCCAGAGTCCAAACCCGCACCAGGTCCCCTACCGTCTGTAGTTTCCTGCAGGTGGCAAGCCCTGGGTATTGGTACTCCAGGCCGGGGCGGCGGCCCCGGTCCGTCGGGTCGGTCCCTCCAGCATTGGGGAATAGCGGATTTCCCCATAATGCAGTCGCCCAGCACCAGTCACTGGGTGTCAGCGGGTTAGTCCCGATGTCCTCTGGTGGCGGCAAGTGTCCCAGTGCTCCCACAATCCGGCTGATGTCCTTCGGCAGGTCACTAGTCCCAAGCCAGGGCCCAGTTGGGCTCGCGGTTGTGAGGGCCCATGGCTGGAAAGCGGGGTTCGCGAGCAGAAGGTAGGCTGAAAGCGTGCGGACCCAGGGGTGGATACCTCCGCCCACCTGCATATCTGTGTCTGTTGCGCCTGTATCTGTTCTCGTGTTGCCTGTTCGCAGCCCTAGGGTTGCAATGACAAAACGAGCAGCCCACACCGCATGCCGGGCTTGGATGTGTTGCCGGAGGGGCAGCAGACCAAAGCCTCCTGTCGATGGGTGACCGATTAGGAGTTCTTTGGGCACGCCAGTTAATCGTCGGCCAGGATCATCCGGGCCTTGTTGGCGGTCGAACAGGCGAGCCTTGAGTCGCTCTATCTCGTCCAGCATGCGGTCTGGGGCCAGTCCGCCATGCTCCATGTGCCAGGTGACTGTCTGCAAGCCATACGCCGACGCCGCCGTTGCCCTTCCAAATGATGACAGTGGGAAGCGGGACAGACGCTGCATCCGCCGTTTGGCCTCTCCCATCCTCTTCGTCCAGTCCGGCTGTGGTGGGGTCACCTGGTTGTCTATCGGCAGGTTCAGGGCAGTAGCAGTGGTTACCACCTTAAGACCTCCGATTGTCTCATGCTGGGGGGCCGTTAGCTGGGTTCCTGCTGCTGGCGCCGGCTGCTGTTGTTGCTGTCGCTGCTGGCCAATCCATAGCAGTTCCACTTTCTCCAGGTTGAGTCGCTGGCCAGATGCCCGGGCAAAAGATTCCATGGCCTGTAGGAAGGAGGGAACTGATTCCGCGCCATCCAACGCCACTTCCGTGTCATCTGCATATTGGCAGGCGGTGACGGGATTTGGGTCGGACGGTTGCAGCTTAATTCCCACCTCCTGGCTCCGGAGCCAGCATTGGAGAGCTTGGGCGACGAAGAGGTACAGCAGAGGCGCCAGGGGGCAGCCCTGTCGGACACCAGCCTCCATGTCTACCAACCTGGACTTGTACCCGTTGACCATCGCCCGGGCTCGGGTTTCGCTCAGTAGCAGACGTACCCACGCACACAGCTGTGGCCCTGCCCCCATCGCCTCCATGGCCGCTAGGAGAAAGCCGCGATCCACTGTATCGTATGCTTTGGCAAAGTCCAAGAGTGCCAGAAGCCCTTGGCGGTTCTGCTTGCGGAGGAGGTGTGACAGGTGGCGCAGGAAGAGTACGCTGGCCCCAATCAGGCGCTTGGGGAGGAAGGCGGATTGCTCGGGGGTGATGACCCGTCCCAGGGCGGGGCCCAGGCGGTTCGCCAGTACCTTAGCAAGGAGCCGGTAGTCCGAGCATAGCAGCGTGATGGGGCGGTAGTTGCCTGGGAGCTTGGGGTCGCCTTTTTTGTAGATCACCGTGATGATCCCCTCAAGGAAGCCTGCTGGCACCTGCCCGGTCGTGCCAATGGCAGTGAACAGGCCTGCCATGGTATTACCTATGGCTGACCAGAATTTCCTGTAGATGTCGGCTGGAATCCCATCCCACCCTGGGGCCTTGCCAGGTGCGCTCTTCTTGAGTGCCTTCCGCAGTTCGGTGGCTGCGATCTTTTTGGCTCCAAGCTGTTCATCTGCCTCTGCCGGGAGCTTAATGTTGGCTGCGGTGAGGGAGTTCAGTACGGCTTGGCGGGCCTGGGGGCAGATGAAGTCCGGGGCCTTGCTCACATCCTTCCAGAATTCGGCTACCACCTGGGGCAGCTGAGCGGGGTTGGTAACAAGTCGGCCGGACGAGGCTTGCAGGGCGACAGGGGCTGGCTGCTGGTCTACAGCCTGGGCCTGGAGGAAGGCTGTAAGGGATGGGCTCAGCCTCTCCCCTGCCCGCAGCCAGTGGGTGCGGGCCTCCATTGCATCCTTCCGGCAGTCTTCCCGATGTGCTCGTGCGAGTGTTGCCTGGGCTTCGACCAGTTGTTGAAATGGCTGTTGTGCTGTGGGGGCTGCATGCATGCGCGCACTGCGGGATACGATGCGAGGATACGGCCCGAAACATAATCCGTAAAGACACGTACATAAACAAAGAATTTCCAAGGAAGTTAGGGGTTTTCCGTTCATGCTGGCCTGGGGGGGGAAGAAGAAGTCCACTCCGAAGGCAGGTGGGGGAGCCTTCTGGTGGTCGACCTAGTGACAAGCGAGAAAAAAGGAGGATGGAAGGCATTAGGATTACATTGAAAATGCACATGATGCTTTCCTTGTGATTTGGGTTTTCCGTTTTCGGGTTCTTCCTGAAGGGGAAGGTGCGGTCTTATGGAGTTGTGTTGTGGATATGGGGTTGGAATTGGGCGACTCTGGATCTTATCAAAGGGGCGCTGCCGCGCATAACGGGTTGAAACCCCTCCCCCCCCGGAGGGTTGGGACCGCATGGCCTGGACGTGCTGGGCTGGTGGTGGTGTCGCACACCTGCAGCCACTGGCGCCACCACTCCGCAAGCGGTGAGGGGCTCCGCGACCACAAGGCGCAGACCGGTAATGGCCTGGCTGAGATTGGAACCGACGCCTGCCAGGACCCCATAATTGACCACCTCCGCTTGCGGGTTGCTCGGCATAGCAGAAATTTTCAATTCCACGATAGGACCATAGCAGTTGTCACGAGCTTGTGTTAGCTGTGCGAGGCCGGCTGCGAGGAACGCAAGCAACATATAGACCGGGGTTGTCATTGCGTATGGCTTGGCTCCCCGCATGCACCAAGTGCTAAGCAAGGCTTTAATGCCATCAAGTATGAATATGGTTCGATGTTGCCAGGTATCGGACACGTGCTTGGAGTTTCCGACCGAGCGCTCCAAATTTTCATCGGGCCCTCGGAACCAGAAATTAGTTATAGCCGCCGTTCTTAAATAAATCTAGCAGCAGAGCTCCAATTTTCATAACCAAGCTACTTGCACCTTGAGCGTCGGTGGTTCTTGTCGATTGCTCTGACGTTTGACCGCCTGTTTATTTGGTCTTCGCTCGGTAGCGGATTTTTACGCATCCAACGACTCGATGCGAAAATATTTTAGTTTGGAACAGACTTAAAACTTGTAGCAGCGCCGGCCGCAATATGGCGCCCAAGAAATCCACCGCCGCCGCGGTTCCGGCAAAATTGCCCGTCGACGACGTCATGGCGTCTGATGATGACCCACAGCGGGAATCAGACGACGAACTTGAGATCTTCGACGGCGGCCTAGAAGGGGAAGACTATGGCAACGCCTCGGACGACGACGTCGACCATGACATCCAGGACGACGGCGAAGATGACGCCGACGATGCCAATGGCGATGGTGATAATGCTCTTGCACGGCTGAAGGAGGCCGCGCGCCGCCAGCAGCCAGCCGGTCCCGGTCCAATGAGTGCGGCTGCAGCCGCCGGCGGCTGCAAGCATCGCGGCTTGGTCGCCGACACGGCGCTAATGCTACAAGCAGAGACGTCGGACGCGGCCATTTTGCAAATGGAGGCAAGTGTTGAAGACTGTGTAATCTGTAGTTTTTTGTGTGTTTTGTTTCGTGGCGTATGGCACGGAGTCGACTTCATCTTTTCTGCCACTCGCTGCAGGCGGACGAGCTTCTGTCGGAGACGCGTGTAGCTTATTCGAAGGCATCTGGACTTGACGCCGTCATCGCCAGGCTCAAGGAGGCGCTCATGTCCATACCCGAACACCAGGTCCGTGAACACGCAGGCTGCCGTGAAAATCCAACGCTTTTCTTGCTTTTCTCTATCCCTCTATCCCGCAGCTAACCAACCAACCCTCCTAGCGACACGCCGTGTATTGAAAGGAGCACGTGGCTTGCGCATGTTTCTAGGCATAAAGCTGAGTTGTCGTGCTGCGCGTGCCGTCCTACAAATGATTCAGGGGTATTGTCCTTCTGCTCCCTTGTACAATACGAACACCCTGCCTCATCCGGCGCATGTAATTGCCTCCAGGTTCCCGTGAGCATTGCCAAGGGCTTCGTTGAGGCGCTCGGAGGAAACACCAAGGTAATAATAAGTTACAAGAGCAGCCGCGCTTCCGTGTTTGTCCTACCGCCTAGAGTCCCACTACTGTTGGATCCACATCTTTTGCTGGGTAAATGTTGATTGCCTTACCCGCGCGTTCCTAACACGAACTTATGCATGTGAGCATGCACGCGGTTCATTTGCGTAGATGATGTAGAGTGATCAACACTCATTACACGTAGCGTGCGTTTTTCCTCCTTTCCTCGTCTCCTTCAAATCTTCCTGGCACCTATCTCACCTCGCATGTCTCGTTGCCTTCGCTGTCCATCAGGACAGTCTGACCGTCAAACCTCCCTCCGCCGTCACCGTCGTGGGCAGCTATGCTGCCAAGGCCGTCGCCCGCCCTGAAACAACGGTTGATATTGCCGTACAACTACCCGCGGATTTATTGGCGCCCAAGGCCCATCTAAACCATCGCTACCACGTCATCCGCGCCGTTTACCTTATGGCCGTGGCACGTCACCTTCGCGATGTGAGCTACAGCCTATTTGGCGAGCAGCGGTTGGAGGCGCTCCACGGGGACCCTACGCGGCCGGTGTTGCGGCTACAGCCGCCCAAGGCCGAGGGTTTTAGTCTGCGGCTACTGCCATCGATTGCGACATCGACGTTTGCGTTGCCGCGCCTCGCTCCAGACCGAAACGGCGTTCGGGCGCATTGCAGAGCCTGCAAGCCTGGAAAGGAGGTCGTTGCTGAGGTTGCAGCAGGGACTGCGGCCTGTCAACAGCAAGAGGAGCAGCAGCAGCAGCTGCTACTGCCAACACCGCACTACAACGCGGCTATCTTGGAGGATATGCTGCTGCCAGTCCATGCCGCCAGGCTCAAGGTATGTCATTATGCTGCAGGGGAATGCTGTGGGGCTCTTGTCCGTGGGTAAAACACCACCTTCCTCCGGACGTCTTGCCCCTTTGCCTTCCTGCCCTTCAAATTTACACGATTTGCAGAGCCCTTGGCCCTCGCTGTTCGTGTTCATCCTCGTTTTTTTGTTTTTTTGGATGCTTTATATTGCGCAAGTGTCCAATAAAATATAATCATAATACTGTTTCTTCTCACCTTCTGTACCGCATACTGTTTATTCGCACCCAATTTCTGTACTGCAGTCGGTTATATCGGCGTCTCCACGGTTGCTGGACGGTTTGCTGTTGCTCAAGGTCTGGGCCCGGCAACATGGTCTCATGTCCACCGTTAGCACCGCCCTAGGGGATGCAGCTGCTCCGAAACCAACAACAGCAGCAGCATGCTCTTCTCCGGCCACAGGGGGTTTCGGAGCAGCTGCTGGTGGTTGTTTGGACGGCTGCATATTGGCGATGCTGATTCTCCTATTGGCGGAACGAAACAAGCTGGTGAGGGGGTTTATGTTCGCACTGCACGGTGTGCTTCTGTACAGGGAGGGTGGTATGGGATAAATTGTTGTAGGAGCTGAACCAACCAAACAAAGGGGAGGCATAAATTCCTGGGTTATGCTATCGGTTATCCTGTTAGGGATAAGGCTTTGTCGTAATATCGAATCAGAGACCTGCTCATGGTCAGCTGCTTGTCTACTTGTCCTATTGGCTCATTGCCTGATTTGTGGTCTTTCCCCCCCTTCCGGGCCATCTGGTCTTTCCACCCCTTGGCTTGTAGGCTTGCTCGATGTCGGTGTTGCAGCTGCTCCGAGCAGCGCTTCAGCTACTTGCAGACAGCTCAGCCTGGGCCAAGGGACTAGCTATGGCGCGACAGGAGGGAGGCGAGGGTGCCCTGAGGGACACGCCGCAGCCGCCAGCGATGGTGCGTCGGGTTCCCAAGTGCGCGCTAGTGCTGCCATGCAAACTGGCGGGGTAGGACGAGGTGGAAATGTCCCTTCCTGGTGCACACAACGTTGGCATGGGTTTCATCCTGGCGAGATGAATGGTTAGGTGGATGAAGGATGTTGGAGTATGATGTAAGTAAATCATAGATCGTGGAGTAGGGCCTAATGTCGGCTGTGAAAGAAGTAGGAATCTATGGTTACTGTGGTGCCGGTGGAGACCTTGGATTTACCTTTGTTCGACGGTTACCATAACCTTGCCGCTTCCTTGCCACTCGCTGTCTGCCAATCTCCCTACACCTCTCATCCCCCACCTTGCCTCTCGCAGCAAGCCTTCAAATCACACTTCCAAGTGGTCTTTGTGGACTTCACCGGCTGGCTCAACCTGGCGTCTCACATGACCCGTGGGTCACTCGCTCACGTCCAGATGGTCGCCCGGCACACCCTGGACCTGCTAAGGGCTCCGGCTGACCCAGATGAGGCCTTCGCGGCGGCTCTGCTCACGCGCGCAACCCCGGCCGCTGCATTCGACTACCACTGGCGAATACGTCTGCCGGCGGGGTCGGTGTGGCCCCTGTCGGAAAAGGCGCCGGCGGGAGGCAGTGCGGCTGTCGGGAGCAATGAGCTGCTGGAGCAGGCAGCAGAAGGTCAGAAGCCGGCTGAAGAGCACTCTCAAGCGCTGTGCCGGGACCGGGACCTCTGGAGGTGGGCTTTACGGAGGTGGTCTTGGCGTATATACTCTTGTATACCCCATGGGAGGGATGGGTTGCGTTGAGCCTTGTCGTTGTTGTTGGTGGTCATGGTTCGATATGTGTTGGGGGCCTGTTGTGTCTGGATATTCAAACGGCAGTTGTGTATGGGGGGTGTATTTGATGGATATGGAGCTCGCGGCAAGGAGGGGCGAGGTGGAGCCCGCCCGATGATTAGTACTATGCAGCCGACCCATACATGGGGGTTTCTTTTCCGCTTAATGTCTGAGGGCAACGACAGAGCTGCCTCCGTCCTAGCCCCTCCTCAGCCCGGCCTGCTCCAATCCTGAAGTGCGTCTCGCGAGTTTTTCTAGTAAAATCTGTTGAGCAGACGATCCCGATGATTAGTACTATGCAGCCGACCCATACATGGGGGTTTCTTTTCCGCTTAATGTCTGAGGGGTCTTTGCGCCAGTCTCTGCGTTCAATGTCGGCTGAAATTGTCGCCTGGTCGGGTGGCATTCGATATTGAAGAAGTGGCATATGCTGCCGGTCGTTTCTTTGCTGTGTGTTTAGATGCGAGTATATATATAGATCTGTATAGATATGAGTGATATCACGGAGTACGTAGTAGTGTTGGCTTGATGCCCCTTAAGAGCTTTTACCCGTGAAAATCCTCTTATCCGCACATTCTCTTTCTTCCTCCCCCGCTCTCCCCCCGTGATTGGCTCAGGGAGCAGGTGGTTCAGATTGAGCAGATTGTACGACAAGCCTTAACGGACCGAGCCAAGGTCGTACGTGTTCTTCGATGGCCCTTCGATTCCGCTTCATCTCCGGATGTCCTCCTGGCCCGCGGCCTGCTGGTATCTTCGACGGAAGCGGATCCTCGTGGCGCTGAGGAAGACGGTGACGACGAGGACGACCACGACCAGGAAGACGGCGGTGCGAGTCGATGCGCCAAATCATTATCGACATGTGTGGCAGCTCCGTCGTCCGTGTGGGTGGGAGCGATCATGGATCCGCTGGCGGCGTGCCGGCTTGTGGATGTGGGGCCAGCGGCGGATGACGGCCCCGCGGCGGCCCGCTTTCGAAAATTCTGGGGCGAGAAGGCTGAGCTTCGACGGTGAGTGAGTTGTGATGTTGATCCTTTTCATGCTATGCTGCTTCCTAGTGCAGTTGCTGGGCTTTTCGAATCGAACTCGGACATCGGACATGTTTCTGTTTCACTCTTGTGTAGAGTGTAGGTCTAGTGACTGCTTACCGGCATCCTAGGCTCGTGTCTCCTAGCTTGGTTATTATCTTTTTTCCAATGGTACCAAATCTCCACTGCTTTTTGACAGCATGTTGTGTCGTGCACACTCCTTCGCCGCCGCAATCCCTACAGGTGGCAGGATGGCAAGATCACGGAGACTGCGGTTTGGGAGGTGGCTCCCCACATGCGCCACGTCATCCCCGACCTCATCCTGCAGCACGTGGTGGGCCGTCACCTGCCCGCCGGCTCGGAGGTGGTTGGGGCCGCGGGCTCCCTGGACTGGGCCCTGTGCTGCCGGGCCTCACCTTCGGGTGCGGATCTGGCGGCCACTCGGGCTGCAGAGGCGGCAACGGACAAATTGGCCAAACAGCTCCGAGCGTTGGATAATTTGGCGCTCAAGGTGCGAATGGACAGCCTCGTTTGCTCAGGATTTGGGGTTCTTTATGCGTATGTGTGGGATATCCGTGGATGTATATATTATTGTATTTGGGTAGTACTTCATGCGTCCTGATACTTATGTGTGCAATAACCCTAAGCTGTTGTGAGATCTCCCGTTGCGGGCCGTAACACTATGTGTACCTACCTCATTCATGAAACTTGAATGAAGGCGGATCTTTTTGCACAACCACTTGAAAGCCTATACCGATGCCGAAAAATCTGTAAACTTACATTTAATAATGTCCCCACGTGTGGTGGTGGGTGCAGGTTGTGGGTGTGCAGCCGCTGTCGGGGGTTGCCCGCGGGACGGCGCCCTTTCCGCCGCAGCCGCACCCTCTGGCGGGGGCCTCCGGGGCTTCGGCGTCCACAGCGGGCAGCCACACAGGTGGCGGCGGCATTCCCCGCTGCCTAGACCCGCTGGAGGTGCTGGTGACGCTGGAGAGCTCAGGTCCGTACCCTCGAGAGTTTTAGTAACCACAGATGTGCCACACTTGAGAGCTCGAAGGAGTTGTGTGTGGGCATGTGCTTGGGCATGTGTGTTTTGTTGCGAAACATGAATAAAACGGCAATGATTAAAACTTTATGCTTGACGAGACCTGGCAGAGCTTCTCTCACAAGGGCGCCAGTTTGTGGTCGTTATGGTGAACAATCTATGAGCCGTCCCTTTGGTTGCGCACAGCAACATGCGCACAATCTGCACTGAAAACTGTCACCTCCACTCGGGCGATTTACGTCTCCCGCCATGTAAAAATCCTATCCAGATTCTGAGTTTTGCGCACTTCAATAACTTGTTTCTTTATATATAATATATCCCTGCCGTGCTGTAAACAAAACCCGGCAGGTCGCTGGCCGGACGACACGACCGCTTTTCGCAAGATGAAGGCCTCCCTGGGGTTGCAGCTCGCCAGTGCACTGGCGTCATCGTACGGACACCACACCATCGCGAGTGAGGAGGCCGTTGACGTGCTGCTGGACGGCTTTGCATTCCGACTCGTGCTCTATTCTGGACGGGATGAGGCCATGCTGACTCGTAGCAGTGTTGCCACCACCACCACCACGGGCCCTGCCGGCGGCGGCGCGGGGCCTAGCCTCGGGTCCGGTCTCCCGAGCCCCGAGGAGAGTCCGCTGCTGCTGTCCTGGCACCACGGGCTCGTGTCGCTGGTAGCGGGAGCTAACTCGGCCTTCGCCCCGTCAGCCAGGTTGGCGAGTCGGTGGGTGGCGGCCCACATGATGTCGAACCACGTGAGCCATCACGCGGTGGAGCTGTTGACGGCGGCGGTCTTTGGGGGAGCTGGCGCGCCGGCAGCACCGCCGCCGGGTTCCCGATTGACGGGTGAGTCGCGTCTGTGTGTCCATATATATGCACGTCGAATACATGGACAAACACACACATTGGTTTGGCACGGGAGGCTGGAGGAAGAGATAGTCTGTTTAGCGATTTGTCAATTTAGAGTACCCAGGCAGCAGCAGTGGGATGTGATGATCGCAGGAGGTGGAGGTATCGGAGGAGTTGAAGGATTGATAGGGCCCACACGGCAGGTACAAGGGCCGCCCAGTGTTACCCCGCCGCTGTATTCCATAACCCCAGGGGCGGCAGGGTGTCAAGGGCGGCCGATAGCAACCCAAGGCAAATCAAGCCGCCGGCGGAGGGTGGGGGCCCAGTGCTCTGCCCGTTGACGTTGGCGGAGACACGCCTCGGACATACACGCGCACAAATACACTCACACATTGCCGACCTCTTGGCAGCAGCAACACACGATGCAATATGTGCAAGGGACTTCACCTCACCCCTGAGAAGCGAGGCACTTGGAAGGCGCTCGTGCTGCCTTGGTGATTGGATTCCCTATTGTATCCCAGATCGTGCCATTATATCCCCACCTCGCACGCACTGTTTGTAATAGTCCTGTTGTTATTGGTCCTTTGCAGGCTTTCTTCGCTTCCTGCAGTTGGTGGCGCGGTGGCCCTGGCACGTGAAGCCCCTGGTGGTGGATCCGGCGGGGGAGCTGCGGGAAGCTGACCGCCGGGCAATCAGCAGTCGCTTCGAGGCCCGCAAGGCGGAGGGAACTGCGCCCGCTATGTACCTTAGCACGCCGCGGGACCTGGAGTCACGACACTGGTGAGGGCTCCCCTCTTTCTAGGGTCTTCTTCTTTGAGGAGATTTACGTCAGCGTGCTCAAATAAATATTTAGTATTTAGTCGTTGTGATGCTTGTTACCTGTGAACCGGTGATGAAGTTTGTGAAGGTTTGAGAAAAGCGGCGCCAAGTTTTAATTTAATTTAAATTTGAATTAAAGCTCCAACTAGGACTGCTGGGTTTTGTGTCAGTGGCCCTGTCAGTTTCCTGAGTGAGCGACAGCAAAGGGGGAAGCCCCGCCGGTCTGGTGTTGCTCACCTACCGGGGCTCCCATCTGATGGGGGGTCGCGGGTGCCTGGACTCGTGTGCGTGGGCTGAGGCAGCAATCCACTGCCCAGTGCGGCGCCTCTGGGCGTAGACCGGCACATTGTGAATAATATAACGACATATTACATGGCATATATTCTTCAACAATTTGCTTCTTTTACATGGACTGTACATGGCTGAGTATTTTCCCGTCACCTGGCAGCACTTTTTCCCGTTGTCCTCGATGTTGTAAGGACTCTCCCGCTCTTCTGCAATCCGCAACCTTTGTGGGCGCTGTGTGTGTAGGACTGCGAAGGGTCCCAGTGCGGCTGCGCTGCAGCGACTTACCGTCCTTGCGGTCCGCTCCGCAGCGTTGCTACAGCTCTTGCTACAGCCACACCCTGCTAAACCGCTTCAAACGACTTCAACAGAGGGCTTCACGCCTTCGGGGCTTGCGCCTGAGTGGCAGGGGGTCTTCGCGACCCCTGCCGCGGATTTTGACGCCTTTATTCTGTTGAGGAAGGAAGCGCTACCGCACGCTGATATGGCGCTGCTTCCGCCGCCGCGTCAGCAGCAGCAGCAGCAAAATCGCCCAGCGAGGAAAACCTGTTGCGATGCCTCTTCTGCATCACTGGCGGCAGTGTTGCTACCACCTGGTACTGCCGTACGTGACCTGGTCAACGGCGGCGGTGGGGTTGGTAGTGCTGTAGCGCTGCAGCAGCTGGATGCGCCGTTGTCCGGGCCTGACGCGCTATCCGAGGCAATGGAGGAGGCGGGGCCGCTGGAGCCGCCTGCAAAGCGCGCTCGCGCGTTCCTGCGCTGTTTTCCGGAAAAGGTGATGGAGGGCAAGAGCGCGGCACGGCTTCAAGGCGAGCTGTTGGTGGGGCTAGATCCCGTGGCGCGACTTTTGTCGGACCTGTCAGCCCAGTACGGCCATATAGCGACGTTTTGTGTGGATGGGCTGGGCGGCAGGTTGGTCGGCGTTCGGTGGCTGCCAGATGCGTTTCTTCCGCAGCCATTACGGCTGAACAGTGCACATACGTCTTTGCCGCTCGTGGTGACAGGAGGTATCGTTGCGGCTGGGAATGGAAAAAGGGGGAGAGAGGAGGACGGGGACGACGGTGACGAGTCTCGGAGGAAAGGTGTGGGGCTGAGATTATGCGTGCCGAACATATTTGCTGTACTACGAGAGGTAAAAGAGATGGGATTAGGGCTTGTTGATGACTGGTTGATGCCGCCGTCGAACGTGAAAGCACGCGCCGCATGGTGACAATACCAGAGCGTGAGGTACGAGAATACCTGACAAGACTCGTATTCTGTGCTGCATGAGCTGAGACACCGAGTGCAGGTTTTTATATGCAGGACGATGGCATGTTTGATCTTGTTACCTTGTATCAACGGACAACGTTGTGGTAATTACTCTCGTGTAACTTTTACGTGTCCCGCCAATGTTCGGGATGGCTATGTTTACTAACGCTGCTGAGGTGTGGAGATGTAGTCAAGTTGATGGACTATTTCGCATGCTGAAATGGTGAAATGACTGATATCTCTCTACGGGTGTAGGGTGATTGGATGAAGAGGAGTCTAGCTGGCAGGGCCCAAACCGCCTTCGGTTGTACGGCTTAATCAACTTTGAATATATATTGTTGTTACATGGTCGTGGGTGCGTTCCCCGTACCTGCAAACCACCCTAATAGCCGAGGGCTCAAGGGCTGCCAGATCGCCTGTAAGCACCATCCTACCTCGCACTTTAAACGAAACAAGTGATGAATGATATTGATGAACGACCAAAGGGAACGATAGAGTTGCGGTAGTACCATATACGTTCCAGCATCCTTGCCAGGCGTTCAGGTTCCCACTTCATGTGCTCGATGCGTGGGAAACCCATATCAGATCTGATTTTGTCGTACACCGGACAGTCCAGCCAAATGTGCTTCTCATCCTCGATATGGCTATCAGTGCCGCAGCAAGGGCATACTCGCTCCTCCCTAGGTATATAACGCCGTCCCTTACACGCTCTGTTAGCCGCCAATGCCCAATAGCAAAGCCTAAACTGCATTAGCTTGCGATTCGCTGAACGCGTACACGGCTGGCTGGACATCTAGACGCGCATGCTTCCAACCACTCACCAATCGGTCCTTGAACTCCAGAACCACACCTTCTGGCATTGGCCTGTTCATCAGCCACTCCACTCGTTCGTCTACCTTGTGTAGCCCTTGCGGGGCCTCTTTCCATACGTCGTGCCGCGGAAAACATAGAAAACGGAGGAGTAGTGTCCCCCACCCCGGCCCCTTAGGGGTTCGAGAGGGACTCTGCGACCTCCTGTCGCAAAACTTGGTGTGCCACAGACCCGCGCTGTAAACGGACATGGATCCAAAACCTCACAACCTGCTTGAAAACGTGGTAGTGTAGGGGTAGCTGCGACAGCTCTGCAAACAGGAGGCGGTGTGTTGGTCTGGCAGTTCCTACAATTTGTCGCATGAAAGTTATCTGAAGCTGCACCGCTCTGTCCTTTAAGCATGCCTCGAAGGGCCCCTCCGCAAAGTTACTCGCATCACTCCGCCTCCTGAGCCTGTCCGAGACCTCAGCTAGCATAAACGGCCCCCACGCTTGACAACCATACAACAGTATTGCTCGTACCTGCGTATCGAAACACCTCATCCTCACATCTGGGGCGAACAACTTTAGCTTATCTAATTTTGCACTCAACGCGAACATAGCTGCTCTAGCTGTGTCATACAACTGCTGACGGCAGGCCCAGAACTGCCGTTCCGGCCCATACACTAACCCCAGATATCGTGCACTGTCCTTAGCCGTTATGGCCTCTCCAGCCAGCCTGAGCTCATCACACGATGCTTGGACGGCACTTCTAGTGTCGCTGTCGCTTGCAAAAACACATTTGGACGCATCCCAAAATCATCACAGAACATGTCCACAATGTTGAGCAGCTCCCCCATGCGTCCCGGTGTTGCCAGAAGACTAACGTCGTCGGCATAGAGGAGGATGGACACTCGCTCATTTCCGGTGCATCCTCTGGCCGTGCCCCGGTGTTAATACCGTCGTGCATATCTCCGCGAGAGTTTCAATGTACAGTCCAAACAGCTCAGTTGATAATGAACAGCCTTGTTTCACACCTTGTTTTGACTCAAATTCACCTACAGCCTTGCCATTCGTCTTGATGACCATTGTAACCTTGTCATACGCCCGCATCAGCGACCGCAGCATGGACCCTTCAACCCCTCTCTCTTGCAAACGAAGCCACATTATCTCCCGTGGCACCTTGTCAAACGCCTTCTCAAAGTCAATTTGCACAATGATTAACGGCCGCTGTCCCGGTTGGCTGTGCCTAGCAGTAAGGTACTGCTTGGCAGAGAGATGATGTGTAGTACCGAGTAGTATCCTCTTCTGAAACCGCTTGGCCTCGGTGCCTAAATGAGAGCGTCTCCCCCGTGCGAACGGGCCTATCCAGGAGGACCAGCGCGTAACATTTCGCCAAGGCGCCCCTACTGCTATGCCCCGGTAGTTACTCGGCATGCTGGGATCCCCCTTCTTGTAAATAGGGGTGAAGACGGTAGTTGTAAACTGCCGTGGAAAGTCCCCAGTCGCCCTGATATGTTCCAAAAGCACGTGCAGTACCGGAACAAGCTGATTCACTTCCCCCCGTCGCCTGCCCCTACCATTACCCGACGCGGAGCCTTCTTCTTCTCGAGGCAAACGCGCATATAGGTTAACATTCTGACGGCGCTACTTCCAAACCTGGTGCCTTACTGTTAGGCAGCCGGTCAACAGCACGTGCGACTTCCTCCAGCGTGAGGGGGGGGTCCTAGGATTTCTGCTGCCTTCGCAGTCCTGCCCAAAACCGAGTGGGATGACCGCCATTCCTCTAGGGGCTGCCCAAAGTTAATGAAGTTCAAAAGCCGGTTCGCACCATCAGGCCCCGTCTCCCCTACACCTGCGTTTAATAGCACAGCAAAGTGTTCCCTGAAGACCTCAGTATCATCTATCGCACATCGCTCCCTCAACTTCCCTCCTAAAGCCCGCCACAAAGCTCGTTGGTCATGCCGACATTTGGCCACAAAATCTCTCATCCTGTCCTCCTCATATGCCGCCTTTGCATGTCTTTTTGCCCGGTTGTAATCCGTCAGCGCATGGCAGAAAGCCTCCCATTCCGGACCCGATTTATTACTCACCCGGCCTGGACCCAGCTGGGCCCTACTCTTCAACATGCGCTGCCGCGTTTGTTGACATTCCCGGTTCCACCAAACGGTATCCCCACCTGCCGTCATGCCGGTGTCGAAGGACTTTGTACAGGGCACCTCCAATGCGTTCGACAGTTTGTGTGGTGTTGCAAACTCCCCTCTGCAGGTCCTCGGCCACTTGGCTTAAGGCATTCATAGTAGGGGACCCCCCCTCAAAATATTCCGCGTAATCCTGGTAACGGGCAATATCAAACTGCACCCGGGCTTTCCAGCTATATATATAATAGCTTTCGTGTGGCACTTTTGTAGTCTCTCTTGATCCTTGTGGAACTTGTCGTCTGTAACTGCATTTCATGTTACGAGAATTACAAACTTGTTCCTCTTGGTCCAATCTGATTGTACGATTCACTGTCACATCGGAATAATCAAAACAATCAAGCCTATAATTGCTCGCACGAAATTGTTAAATATTAACAAAAAAACGCAGTAGTGACTTAAAAAATAATCGCGCAGATCAAACGATTGCACACTTGAATCAAACTGTATATACACGTAAAACCTGCAGTCCGACAGCTACATCCCTTCTTGACACAAACAGCGCTGTAAAACGCTGTAAAATCGCGACCCCTCCTCACTCACACTCTTCAATAACACGCAGAACCCCAAATGTACACCCTCAACAAACCGCTAGGGGACTGAATTAAACAAACTCTCTGTGTGTCTCGTTTCCCGATCACACCGTAAATATCGTCTCATACGTTACCTTCTTTGTGTGGAGGAAGAGGAGGGGGAGGAAGGCTCAAAACAACTTAACACTCAGGTATCATAACTTCGCCCTCCAAAACCCCACCGTTCTACCTTCATATTCCCCACCACCTTTAGGGAGGATGCTCTGCGCCACCCAGAGCAAAGCATCTCCGAAAGCAATACACCCAGATCGAATGCATGCTCCAACACTTCCCCCACACCTCCCACCTACAAGCCCTCGGACAGGAACGTGTCCTCTGGCGTCGACCCAGACAACACGGCATCACCGCCGCTCAGCCCTGCTGCCACCGCCGTACTGCTGCTGCAGCCCACCGTCAGCGGATCCACCTCCGTCAGCAGGTAAGCGCAACGACCCGGCTGTAGCACCGACGCCAGCGTAGCGGCCTGCTGAGCCACGGAGCCGAGGGCGGGTAGGGCCGAGCCTGTTGACGCCACCGAGGCCACCGCGTTGAAGGGGCTGAGACCGACGGCGGCGGCGCCGGTGGCTGCTGCCACAGCTTGTGCCGGCGACTGGCCGCGCAGAAGTCCCATTAGCACTGCTCCCAGCAGAGCACCGCCACCTGATCGGCCAGGGGGAGGGAAGGCAGGCAGCCGAGGGAGGTGAGGGGAAGGGCAGGAAGGCGGATCAGCCAGGTAGGAGTGGGAGGCTGGTTGAGGGCTATAGCAGCACTGCTGGCAACAGGTCCGGGAGTCCAGGAGGGAGGGGCAGAGGGGGTTGGGTCGGGAGAGAAGGGCGACGGAAGCCCCCAGTAGATGATGAGCGTGGCGTAAGGAGGGGCGGCGATTCATTCCATCCGCCCACCCACTACTCTACCCAGCCACCCACATTAACAGTACCTACCTAGCAATGCCGCGGGTGAGGGTTTGACACGGCCCAGCTCCATCACCGTCACCCGCTCCCCCTCCGGTATCCCCGCGGCGTGGCGAGCCAGGGAAATGGCTTTGTGGATACCGCCCACGGCGTCCACAAGCTCGACCTGAGGGCCCGGAGAGGGGGTGGTGTGAATGCGGAGAGGGAGAATATATACAGGACATGTGCACCCGGTCGACCCGGGTTCAAATCCGCCTGCCGGCTCCTCGGGTGTTTGAGGAGTGATGAAATGGGAGGTGGCCCCCCATCTTATGGACGATGTAGGACGTGATAAGATCAACTTGCGAGCTGACCAGGAACTAAGTTGATGCGCCGTTGATCCGCTAGATTTGGTTGGATGCTGGTGGTGAGTTGCCGAACCCAATGAATACATTCTGAAGTCGGATGGGGTGACGGATTAGGGTGCCCCTCTAGCAGGGGAGAGCAGGGAACTGCCTCGGGAAAGGGGGCCGCTGGCGAAGTTAACCACCCTGTAACAACATACATACAGGAAGCCAAGAGGTAAAGAACCTCTTCGGCCTCTGCAGTGGTACGGCCCCGGAAGTCCCCACACATCTCCCCGGGGGCCGGTGGGTGGTATGGAAAGGGACGGGAAGGGAATGCTGTCGGCAGTGTCTTCATTGTTAAATTCCGACAGACTGAGTGACTAGGCCCGACCTAGAAGCTCTGCAGATGAGGACGAGATGGTTCTTATGGCGCAACATCACCCCCTCACCCTCGCTAAGGCACGCCCCCTCCATATTACCACCAACAAACCCATCACCTTTTTTTCAATGCAGCGAGCCTCCTCCTCCCCATAACCCTTCACATCTGCTCTCCGCTCCCCCCCCGGCCTCCTCCTCCTCCCCCACCCGTTCCGGATCCCCCCGTGGCCCTCCTCACCTCCTTAGCAGCTAGTCCCGACCACACTCGGCCTTGCGCCACCTCCTCCATCACCTCCGGCTCCATCCCCCGGGACAAGGCCGCCTTGTTGCGGAAGGACTCATACGCGTGCTGGGCGGAGGCGTCGAACAACTTCTCCTCCTGGACGGGTGAGGTGTGTGTTTGTGTGTGGAGGGGGGAGGAAGGGAGAGGTGAGGGAGTGTTCGACAGAGTTTACGGTTGCCCTTCATCGGTCGCCTTCCTAAGTCCCTCTCGCATTCCTCGACCCTCTCCTCATACTCTCATCCCACTCTTCACCCAACCCACCCACACACTACCGCCCAAGGACTTCACACCTCTTGTGAGCGGCCCCCCTTCCCCTCCCCCTTCCCCCTCCCCCTTCCCCCTCCCGCATTATCTCTTTTGAGTTTTCCGCAGTTGATTTCCCCTTCCCCCCTAGCTGCCAGGCAGCTACCTGAGAGAAACAAACGCTGTACGAACCATGTTCGATGAAACGGCCATGTAAAGGCCGCCACCACGAACACAAACACGAAACACAAACACGAAACACACACACGAAACACACAAGCACACCTCCCCATCCTCACCTCCTCGTTGAAGCCCTTGATATCCGACAACAGGAGGGCGTAACGGCCCCAGCTGAGCAGTACCTTGTTATAGCTGTACGGCGGGTTTAGTGGCCGGCGGGGAAGGGCGGGGGGAAGGGCGGAGGGCCAACAACACCACAGGATGCTGAGCGGTGGGGTTGTACTGGTTCCCAATGGCAGGAAGAACCATATGCAGCAGCATACAAAAGGCAAGGCAGGTGGCTGAGAGACACACACACACATACATACATACACACACGTGAGATTGGAGGGGGGGAGAAAGAAAGTAATAGAGAGGGGGGGAGGGAGGGTTTCACTCACTCACCCGATCTTGCAGTACAGCTCCGACAGATTGAACTTCCCGGTGACCACCCCGATGGAGCCCGTGATGGTGAGTGGCTCGGCGACGATGGCCCTGTATGTACGTATGTATGTATGTATGTTAAAGGAGGAGGGAAAAGGGCAAAGCGGCAGGATTACCGCTGGAGGTGTCGTGGGCTTGTCCGTAAACATATAAGGGTTTGGCACTACTGGTAACGCGCGACCATTGCCCCCGGGAGATCCCGGGGTGGAAGGTATTGCGCCCCAAGTTGATGGACCACGGTGGTGACATGGGATAAAGTTAACCTGCGAGCCGACCAGGAATGGAGTTGGGCCGCTGTCGACCCGGCAGATTCCGTTGGATGCTGGTGGTGGGTGCGGAACCTGAGCGATCCACTGAGAGGTTGACTAGGGTGACTGGATGAGGGTGCCCCGAAATACCGGGGAAGGCAGGGTTTCGCAGGGTAGCTGCCACGGGCGAAGATATACCCCCCTGTTTCACACATCATATGAGAGGAAAATCCGCCAGGACGTGACACAACCCCGGAGTGTTCATCCATCCGTACAAAAAGCAAGGAAAAGCAGGTCCCCGCCGATCCCACCAAAAGGAAACCCATTCTTCTGTTCCCGATCCCCCAAGGGCCCTTGCCGCTTTTTTTAATATCCAAAAAACTGACAATTCCAGTTCCCACACTTTCCCCACCTCGCCGCCATAGCCATGTAATAACCGCCGCTGGCTGCCACGTCAGCCATGGACGCAATGACGGGTTTTACGGCATCCAGTTGCCGTATTTCCCGCCACATCAGGTCCGCCGACAGGGCGTCGCCGCCGGGGGAGTCAATTCGCAGTACAACCGCTGCAACCGACTTGTCCCTTGAAAGCGGGAAGAAACCGAAAAGAGCGGGAAAGGAAAGAAGAGATGTGAGGAACAGAAAGGAAGGGAACAACAAGGAGTGGAGAGGGAATGCGAAAGGGATGATGAATGTGCTGTTGGGGCGGCGAGGGGAAGAAAAAACACAGCCCGGGGCGCAGGGGAGAAGGCACACGTCACTTGCGGTACATACATACACACGCAAGGCAGGTGGCTGGCAGAGGTTAAGGCCTGACTTCTGCTCCCGGAGGTTCCAATCCGCCTGCCGACCCCTCGGTGTGTGTGAGGGGTGTTGGTCAACTTGCGAGCTGACCAGGAACTAAGTTGAGGCGCCGTTGATCCGCTAGATTTGGTTGGATGCTGGTGGTGAGTTGCTGAACCCAATGAATACATTCTGAAGTCGGATGGAGTGAATGGATTAGGGTGCCCCTCTACCAGGGGAGAGCAGGGAACTGCCTCCAAGGGGAAGGGGGCCGCTGGTGAAGCTATACCACCCTGTAACAACATACATACATGCATATCAGGCAAGCACTCATCAGGCACGCGACCTGACAAAGCACGATAGCCACCATACCCGCAAAAGGTGGGGGAAGGGGGAAAGAGCTCCCATACACCCACCCGCCCATCCATCCACCCATCCATGCATCCACCCATCCATGCATGCATGCATACAATCATACATGCATACATACCCCAATGTCACTCACTTGGCCAAGGCACGTAGCTTGGGAATGACGCCGTCGGGGGTAATGGCGGCGCCAGAGGACTTGCCTGGAGAGGAAATCGTACGGCATAGTACGGTGTACGACACCGAACAGATATATAAGGCAGCATGAGGCCAAGTGTGAGCAGCCTCAGTCCGGAGGATTTAGACAACCCTGAAACACCCTTCATGCTCATGCCCTCATGTTCACCTTTAATGACTAATAAACCGACCACCAACTCCCCTCCCTCTCCCCCCGCTGACGGTTCACCCACTCACCCACAATGGCGCCCGCCGTTCTCAGTACGGCAATCCGCTTTTTTCCCCCCGCCAGCCCGAATGCGGTGGGGCTGACGGCCGAGTACTTCCGCAGGCCGACGCGGCGGAGCGGCGCCGCCAGCGCCTTCTCCCGCTTCTCCTTCTCCTTCTCACTTTCGCCGTCGCGGGGCCGCAGACCTGCGGACAGACAGACAGACAGACAGACAGACAGACGCGGAGGACAGGGGGACAGGAAATATATACAAGGAATGAAAGGAATGAAAGGAATGAACGGGGTAAGACGAAGGGTAAAAAGGGAAAACAACAACAAGAGGGGTTACATGTTGATATCCACACCGGCACAGACTACCCGGGGAGGGGGGAGGGGGGAAGACGAACCACAAACGAGTGAACGGGGGGAGGGGGGGGAGGGGGGTTGAGAAAGGAAGGTGGGTAGGGGGGGAGGGGCGAGTAAGGTAACAGATTGGTAGACAGAGACACAACATGAGCGGGGGGTGGGGGTGGGGATGGGGGTGGGGGTGGGGGTGCGGGTGGGGGAATGTGCGTGTTTTGAGGACAGCGGGGGAAGAGGGGGGAAGAGGGGGTTAAGTAAACAACGCGAAGGAAAGTAGCCGCGCATTGCCGTACACACCCCACAAAGCCCCCGCGCCCCTTTCCACATCTCCACTTCCCCCTCCCCGCCTCTTACCCCCTCCCAAACCCCAAACCCTATACACGAAAACCCGACACACACATACACACACACACCCCTCCGTGATACCCACCCGTGGTCCTCATCTTCAGCTCGGTCAACAGCTCGTCTTCGTACCATAGATCCGTAATCCAGCCACCCGATTTGAACTTCTGCATGTCGTACACACCCTCATGAATGAACTCCTTGACTTCCTGCAGTTCAGCAGTACGGCGGCGAGAGAGAGAGACGGCAACCCCCGGTGGCGGTGGTCGTTGGGGGAAGGAGGGGAGGAGGGGGAGGGAGGGGGAGGGAGGGGGAGGGAGGGGGAGGGAGGGGGAGGGAGGGGAAAACGCCGAACCACGAGCGAGTGAAGCTGCTGCCAAGGAAAGAGTGCTGCGGCAGATGTACAGTACGGTAGCAGAACTGACCAGTCGGGGGGGGGAGGGGGAGGGGGTTATATTATTGGGACGAACAGGGGAAGTACGTACGTACGTACGAACGTCAGGGGTTCCAAGCAACCCCTCTAGACGATCCTTGTGCCAGGTGGGATGACACGTCACCTTCCGTACACCAGCAAAACCCCTCCTCCCCCTTCCGGCCCCTAGCTCCACGCTGCCGTACGACACGCCCAGAGCCACTCACTTTCGTGGTCTTGCCGCGAGCTGTCGACACCTGAAGGAGAAACTCGTCTATCACATCATCCTGCGTTCGTGTGCGTGTGCGTGTGCGTGTGTGGGTGGGGTGGGGAGTTGGGGGGAGGGGCCGGACAATATGCAAGCGGGGGAAGGGGGGAGGGAAAGAGGGGGAAGGAGTGGGGGGGGGTGAGGAGGGTGACAAGACCAAACAAGGGCCCGAGAAGAATCGAGTGAAAAGACGCAAGAATTAAAAAGTATATCCCTGCTATCCTTCGCAAAACACACACATACACATACATACACGCAGGCAGGCGGCTGGCAGAGGTTAAGGCCTGACTTCTGCTCCCGGCCGACCCGGGTTCAAATCCGCCTGCCGGCTCCTCGGGTGTTTGAGGAGTGTTGAAATGGGAGGTGGCCCCTCATCATATGGACGATGTAGGACGTGATAAAATCAATCAGGAACTAAGTTGAGGCGCCGTTGATCCGCTAGATTTGGTTGGATGCTGGTGGAGAGTTGCTGAACCCAACGAATACATTCTGAAGTCGAATGGGGTGAATGGATTAGGGTGCCCCTCTAGCATCCCATAGCAGCCCATCCCATCAGCACTGGGCACACAAGCAACATTGGGCCAGATCAGTAGTACGGTGGGGGACCACGTGCGAACCCCTGGTGACGATCTGTTTTTATTTGGTCTGGTCTGGTGGCGCCTTCGTGTATATGAAGGTTCCGGGTTCGATTCCTGGTCAGACCCCCGACATTGTTCGGGAGGTCTAGGTTTACTAACGCTCCTGAGGTGTGGAGATGAGGTCTAGTTGATGGACTAAGTTTCGCATGCTGAGATGGTGGTGGTGGCTGATCTGTCTCTACGGATGTTGGGTGACTGGATGAGGCGGGGTCTAGTTGGCAGGACCCAAACCGCCGTCGGTCGTACGGTGTAATCAACTTTCAATACATATAGTCCATGGCCTCCAAGCTTTGACGGACACCCCCGCACTCGTGCGGCACTTGTAACTTGTAACTTGTAACTTGTAACTCTAGCAGGGGAGAGCAGGGACTGCCCGGGAAAGGGGGCCGCTGGCAGAGTTAACCACCCTGTAACACACATACATACACACATACACACACACCCTTCCGTACCTGTAGGTCGGTCAGCTGCTCCTGCTGCTCCGGAGACATGTCCTGCCTCAGCAGCTGGTCCCCCGCGCTCTTGTACGACCCGATGCGCCGTACCTGCGGCTCCACCCCCACCTTATCCAGCACGCCGCGAAGGAAAGTACCTGGGTAGGGGGGAGAGGCAGGGGGGGAGAGGCAGGGGGGAAGAGGCAGGGGGGAAGAGGCACGGGCGAGTTGGGCGGGATGGGGGACGGGAAGAAAACCACAAATAACACGTTCCCAGCCCACCCCACCCACCCCCCAATCAGCCACCTCACCCCCCGTTACGAAGCCCCGCAGGCTCAGGTACGCGGTGGGCGGTGCGTATATCTCCGAGCAGGCTGTGGCCAGGTAGTACTCCTTCTCCGCACCCTGCTTCATCCAGGCGACCACGTACTTGCCGGAGGCGCGGAAGTAGTCGATGTGCCTGGCAGAGGCGGCACAACACCAAACATGGCATTGCCGTGTGTGTGTGTGTGTGTATGTGTGGGTGGGTGGGTGCGTGCGTGTATGCATGCATGTATGTGTGTGTAAGGGGGGGGTGTTGGGAGGGGGGAGGGAAGGTAAGGCGAGCTACGGACGAGTGAAGCAGAAGTTGAGTGAAGGAAGGGGGAGCCAAATTGGCATTTGGCATTGGGGTTTAACAGCCCTTGTAATTAAAGGGCTATTTCAAAATGGCTCATTTCCTGTACGAATGAAATCGGTTTTTTATTATAGCTTGTTGTTGATGGCTTGCGCTCCTCCCTTCTCCCCATCCTCAACCACCTTCAACGACCTTCAACCACCTCACCGCTTGATTTCCTGCACCTTGGCCCACCCGATGCCCAGCGGCCCAATCTCGATGGCCACTCCTTGCACTCGGGGGTCCAGAGCGGCCTTGCGCAGGCAGCTGCAAACCGCCGGGAGGGACAGCCCCGAGTCGAAGAAGCCGCGGGACTGGTCGCTGATCTCGCCCTCGAGCTGCGCGGCGCAATATAGATATACATATATACACACAGATTACGAGCCAGAGGAAAATAAACAGCCACAGGGGGTCGGGTAGGGTGAGGGGGGTTGGGGTTGGGGTTGGGGTTGGTCGGGGTCGGGGGAAAAACCGACAAGAGATGCGGTTTTCGATTTCGGAAGGCCGGAATGCTGATGCTTGTACACGTACGTCGTACAACGATTAACGACTTTTTCGGCTCATGGAGGCAGCTACAGCCGACAGCATACATGCAGGCAGGGGGTCAGCACGTTGGGGGGCCGGGGGTGGTGGTGGAAGTAAAGAAACCTTGCCTCACCGGGTAGTGTACGGCAACAAACCCAAAGCGATGCTGCCGCATACGTCACGCGCTATTTAGCTTCGCTGAGCTTCGGGGGGTTCTGTAGCTTTATTCCTCTGTCTACAGGGCATCTGCATCCCGTCTTCCTTGAAGGCGACACACACGCGCGCAAGCACCAGTTCCTTGCCACCAGTATTCTCCTGCGCCTCACCAACAGCAACCCCCCACCCCACCCCACCCACCCAGCTGCTATCCCCCCACCCCCTATCCGTCGATCGTCTGTGTTTCGTCGTACAACCCCTCACCCCAACCCACCCCAACCCCTACCCAGATACTCGGCGGGGCCCTGCCCAACACACCGTGAAAGTGAGTACGGAATCCTTTTTGAAACGGCGCCACGGCAGCGCGAACGCCAACTTGAAGCGGGTCCAGAACATGTCCTTGTCAGTGGGGGCGGAGTACGGCAGCTCGGCAGCTTCCAGAAGCGCCGTCGGGAATGCCTCCGAGCCGTTTTCGGTCTGTTGGTGTGTGTGGGGGGGGGCCGGGAAGGGGCAAGAAGGGGGCCCCGGGGTTTGGGGGGCGATTAGAAAATGCAGAGACGTGAGACATCACCTACCACCTGCCACGGGTTGGTGGTTGGTGGTTGGCTCCCATTTCGCTGTGGGACTAAACCCCCCCGGGGTGATAAGATTGTACGACAAGACGCGTGTGTCTGTGTATGTGTCATCGTCATCAGTTGCTGCCCGCTGCCCGCGGGTAGTATCTTATCAGTATACAACCAAGCACACACCCACACCCACATCCACACACCCACACCCACATCCACACACCCACCCACACAACATCCGGCCCTCCCCCCCTGGGTGGGCACGACGGACCACTGGCGGAACCCAGGTTGGCGCACCTTCACACCAGCAGGCGCCGCGCCGTTGCCCTTCGACCCTTCGATCTGCTTCCCCTCCGCCCCCTCATTCCCCTCCTCCTTCTCCTCCCCCCTAACCATGGCCGTGGGTGCTGCTGAGGCGCCCTCCGACTGACCACCATCCGCACGGCACAGCAGGCTCACAGCACGGCGGCGGCGTGGCGCGAGAGCGGGGCCGAGGGTGGTGCGGGTAGGCAGGCCCGCAGCACGTGCAAGGGTGTGTGCCGCATGCGGGGGACCTCCCAGCGCCGCCAGCACCTTGTAAGGGGCTCCCGCTGGGGGTACGGGAGGAGGGGGAGGAGGTGACAGGCGGGCGGCCGGGCGGGCAGTAGGTGGGGTCGCGGCAGGGGGCTTGGTGAGGGGGGGGACCAGATGCGCGGAGGAATTTAGCAGCGGCGGACACCATATTTGCATAGTGTTTGTGTGTGTATGTATGTATGTGAGAAAAAGGGTGAAAAACGGTGAAAATGGGACGTGTGCTAGACGCAAAAATGGTGGTGGTTGAGGGTGAGTGAACGGAAGCGGGGCGGGTTGGGGGAGGTGCGGGGGAGGTGCGGGAGAAGAAACGAAACCCCTAGAACGGCCGAGGCTGGCGCGGGGGATGATGTCGGGAGGTGCAGGAGATGGGGGGTGGAATCCGGGAAGCGGAAAAGGAGGACCTGGTGGGTAGGGAACGAAACGCATGTAACATGGAAATTACTTTAAGGAAAAGGCGAGGAAGGGATGGTTGTAGGTATGGTATGCAGACTTCGTGGTGAGCAGGAGGAGAATTTGAGACATGGGTGCGCGGTTGGCTGGTTGAATAGGTGCCGTGCTAGCCAGGCGGGTGCTCTGGATCCATGCAGTTCGCGAGTGACTTAAAACCTGCTAGTAGCAGAAAATACTGGTAATGGATGCTTTGACCAGCAAGACCCGCGATGGCCTAGTCATTTATTGGTAGACGCTTGGTAGGCCCCAAGCTCAGCATGGCAGGCTAGTATGGATGGCCACCTCTGCAGCCCTTACCTTGGCATCGCACCTTGCGGTGCCGTGACAAGACTGATCTAGATGCCACACCAACGGGCCTGCCAGCAAATGCGCCCTGTTGGCCCATCAAATTGAGCGACATCTTTCGCTACTAGTAGATTCCCGATCCCACCGGAGACCCCTTAGGAATGAAGTTACGTGTAATCGTGAGTTCCTATCGCAGCTGTATCGTGTCGTAGGCCAAACAACGTTGAGCAGTAGCCGCGTAAGTGTTGTAAGAGGGTTTCGATGAGTCGCCCTTGTACTGGAAGGAGTTGCAGAAGCGACTCAAAGCAGCTGATTTGACATCCATCCACACCGGTGACGTTTGGTGATGGAACTCAAATAATCGTACATCGGGCTTGCGTGGTCCGCGCGCGATGTGTCGTCCAGTGCACGTCACAGAAACACCCTGGGTTACAATTTGAGCCGGCAAGTCGTCAACCTTGTAAAACTTTCTGCATCACTTAATCATTCGCTGTTATCGGAATATGATCATGCGCAGAGCATTCTCGAGACACATCTTTTCCAAGGGGTGCTCAAACCTCCAATCAAAATTGTATGTCAATCTCTTTGAATTCCTGATATGTTGCTGTAACTGTGAAAGCCTGACGCAAAACCCCGCTCTGCAGGCGGGCTGTCGGGGCCGGCCGCACCATCCATGTAACCCGCGCCGCACAGTACAAAGATGCCATGCCTGCTGAGGCGAATCAGCTGCTTAAGGAGGAGGGCTACAACTACCTAGACGTCCGGTAAGCCGTTATGCCCTGCTGGTCCACCCGAACCTTTCCTCCCAAACCTTCCCTTCCGGCGCTTCTTTGTTTGCGTCTCGCACATACATGATTCCGCACGGCTGCAGCACCGCCGAGGAGTTTTCCGCGGGCCACGCGCCCTCTGCCGTCAACGTGCCGGTGGTTTTCCTGGGCTCTGGCGGCATGTCGCCCAACCCCGCCTTCCTGTCGGATGTGCAACGAGTCTTCCCCAAGAAGGACGAGGCGCTGGTGGTGGTAAGTCTGCATCAGTAGAAAATTACGGTGCGGTGGCGTGCTTTCTGTGGACAGAAATCACTACGGAGTACTTATTTCCCTGAGGGGAAAAATATGCATGCTGTGCTGTGCTGTGCTGTGCTGCTCTGCTCCACCGGGAAAAGGGAATGGCCATGCGACCAACCGCGCTCCCCGTGAAGCCCGGACCGCTCATCACTGCACCCACCCGCACCCATCCACCTCGCTGACTCGGTCCTCCCCACTGACCTCGTCACGACGTCCTCTACACTAACACTCCACTAACACTCCACTGACACTCCCTCCCTCTGCACTGTCCTCGTCACGACGTCCTCCAGGGCTGTAAATCCGGCCGGAGATCACTGATGGCCATTGACGCCATGTCACAGGTGGGGCGGTGGGACTCAGCTAGGCGGCTAGGCGGCTAGGCGCTGCGTAACATGTTACGTGTTCGCAGACCTCTTCCCCCCCACACACACACACGCACGCACCTCCTCCTCGGTAGCGCTCTCCCTGCGCACATATATACGTTCATACGTACATGCACACTTGTCGCTGTCGCTGTTCCGACCCGTTGTCGAAGATAACGGCTCGCAACGGCTGGTTCGCGCAACACAACTCATAATTTCCTTGAACATCTCTCCCCCACCCCTCCATCACTTCCTCAATCCGCAATACCCCCTCTCCCCCATTTCCCCCCGCACTCCAACCAGGCGGGCTACAGCAACCTGGTCAACGTTGTAGGGGGGTTTGACTTGTGGGCGGCTCAGGGCCTCCCAGTGGAGAGGTAGTAGCATTTCTGTCTGTGTGTCTGCCTGTGTCTGTGTCTGTGTCTGTGTGTAATCCCCCGGGGGGCCCCCAAATGGAGGAAAGGGACGAGGAAAAGTAGATGATGGGCGGAAATGTATCTGTTTGAAGAGCTGGACGAGGAGGAGGACATGGCGCTAAGAGGTACCTAGCGTCACCAGTCTCTGCTGCTTCAGGAGGATGCGGCGGAGCGGCTTGGATGGCGGTAGACTTGCCGTATTGTTACAATTTAGATACTACGTCCGTGAGTGCAGGCGTGCATGCGAGCGTCGTGTGTGTGCCGATGTTTCTTTTCCCTTAATTTCCCCACTCACCCATCCACCCAGTCCTCCCATCCCCGTCGGCATTTGACCCTTGTCCTTTTTGCACAATAATTTGATTACCTTCCCACCCAAGCTATCCCACCCAAGCCACCCCTAGCCCGCCCACAACTTATCCCATTTTGGGGTGACCCAGATGGCAGGTGTGAGCCATCGGAGGTGTGGTGTGGTGTGGTGTGGTGACGTGTGCAACACAGGCGTTCAGTCAGCGGCTGCGCGTCTTCTTTTGTTCCTTTTTGATCATCGTGATCGAACGATGTGAGCACATCGGGCCGTAGGAGGGACCGGGCCGGCAGTGAGTGCGCAGCGGCGCTGTGAAGCTCGGCATGATGGGAGGGGTTTGATCAGTCTAATGTAGTCGCGGTCTGGGTGTGGTGTGGTGTGGTGTGTGTGGCGTGTGCGGTAGTAGAGGTGGGGTGGAAGAGGTGGGGAGGGGTTACGGCAAGGGTGCTTGGGAAGCGCGCGCCTTAGAGGCGCATGACGAGTAGGAATGGCGGGAAGGAGCCGGGCACGGCGACACACAGCATGTGGTTGGGGATGAAAGCGGCGTATGTATATATGGCGCAGGTGGTTTTGCTATTAGGATGAAGTGTGATGGATATGGGCTTTGCTGGCAACTTGTAATGATGCGTGTGTGGCCCGGTGACATGTGGCTCTGCAGTGCATGCTGGCGAGAGCTATACGAGTGTTCGGCACATCTGGCGTAAGGCAGCACTGCGTTGTAAATGCAACTTGACTTAGGAAGGGCTGGCAGCCCCGCATGGGGCCCACAGCCTGTTTAGTTAGAAGTGTCAACCTCAGAAGTCAGATAATGCGAAGGGGCTTTTCCAGAAGCGCTTGCTCCTGACAGCTGGTTTACTGATGCACTGGGAGCAGTCCGAATTTGTCAGGATGCCGTACAAGGATGCCGGACGCCCCATGCCGGACCGGACAGGATGCCGGACTCCCCATAAATGCAGCTGGCGATCAGCGTTTGTAGCTAAAGCACTGAGCCACCGCGCGGGTCCTCCTCAGAGAACAACGACGCTCGGCGCACCACACACTGTCTCCGCAAGGCAGTGAGTTTACCTGATTGTACGGCTGGAAAAGCTCGTACGTGCCTAGTTGATCGCTGGAATGGTTCGTAGGACGTAGAGTTTATTGGCTTTGGAATATAGGTGCTGATCCTTACGGCGTCGAGCTTGGTTTGGTTTTGCGAGGGACCTATCTGCATCCATCCTATCCTTGGTCAAAGTTTGACCCTGGCATCAATATAGGAATACTCTTCATATGTTGTCTATCATAACAAATGTTGCGCCAAATGCATCCGCTACTCGTAGCTGCTCGGCTTGACCAGGAATACTTGTAACCAAAAATGGCGAATGGAGGGGAGGTTATGCCCGATGGCCAAGTTGTTCTCGAGGAGGAGATAGATGAAAACTATGAGCCTACTGAGCAAGGTTAGTACTGCTGTCTTGTTTTCAAAGTTGCGGGACCAATGTTGCAGCATGGCGCAGATAATTCCCGTCTTCGCCCGCAGAAATTGTCGAGTATGCTCAGTGGCTTGGGATTGACACCGAGACAGAAAAGGTGTGATCGTCAAGCGCAGTCGGAGTTAGTGCGTTGCCCGACCCATGAAACCAACAGGGCAAATTTCTTTGGGCCGCTTCCGTTGCTGTTGCAGGAATTATTTTGGATTGCACGCGAAGGCTTGAAGTCTCCTCTTCCGGACGGGTGGAAGCCATGCAAAACTCCCACTGGAGACATTTACTATTTCAATTTCAATACGGGGGAAAGCATTTGGGACCACCCCTGTGATGAACACTATCGGTGAGTTGCATGTGTGGTGCCACCAGGTTTGAGATACAGCCCAATCCACAGGCTGGCGTCACGTCCATCGGGGCGCGCGGAGCAAACAGTCAGCCATGGGGTGGCGCGCGCAGTTACCTCAGTATTATGCATCATACCGGGGCAGTGTTTCGGCAGAGGGCCGTTCCGTCGACCTTTTCACTTCCAGGCTTTGCAAGGCCACGGCTCATCCGCTGCACGCTGGGGCGTGCATTCCCCAATCGCAGAAAGGTGTACCAAGATGAAAAGGCCAAGCTTGCCACCAAAACCAGACAGTCCTTCGGGTCGGAGCTGCGGACTGGGCTCCTCAAGCGCACTGGCGCCGAAACCAAAGTGCCTAGCCCGCTAGGTCTCAGCAGCTCCAAGGCATCGGTGAGTGAAGGCTGCAGCAACTGATCATGCCGCTAGCTCGTGCTTTGTTTCCCTCTGGCAAAGGGAGCGTACTGCTATCCCGGGATTAAGGCAATGAGACCAAGTACTATCGTACAGTATGCTGGGTAACGTCATGACTCGCGTGCACGGGTCACACCGGCCCATGTTCACCGCTGCCAAATGACTGAGTTCTCTTCTTTTGCCTTCCTTCCCTTTCTGCCGACAGGACTACATACTTGAAAGCTCCGGTTACGAGCAGCAGGTAAGCTCGCCGATGTACAACTTCCGATTGCCCACATGTACAGACGCCTCGGCGAGGCGACACGTTTGCGGACCTGGTGGTGCATTGCGTTGATTCTACCTGACAGCTGCCTAATGGTTTGGCGGTTAGCGGGGGAAAAACCACCACCGATCACGCCGGCCTACGTGTTCTTGCAATTGCCGCAGGGCGATTTGAACGGCGGTGACGCCTCGAATAGCAGCAGCAGCGGTGGCGGCAGCAGCCATGGCGTTAAGCTGGGCAGTAAGGGCAGCGGCGGGGACAGCAAAGGGACTGGGGTTGCGCCGCGCATTAGTTGGGGCGCCACGCCTGGTGGCGCAGCAGAGGCTGATAAGGCCAAGACAGCTGTCCAGCAGGATGAGCAGAAGGACAGAACCGTAAAGAAGGATGATCAACTGGAGGAATCCTCCTTGAAGAGCTTCTCGTCCAGTGTCAGGTACGAAAACGCGGAGCGGTACGACAAGCATGTGATGGGTGTCGTGGGTTTGGGTCCATAGGATATACGGAAAGGTGCAATCTATGGCAGCATGGCACGTCAGGGTTCCTCATCGCGCCATGAACCGCATTGGTGCGACTGGGCAGCCCGGCGCTGACGGCCCTGCTGAGGTCCTTGGGCCTCTTGGACGTGCATGCCAAAGGCCACCCGCATCACAAGGGCAGGGACTGTGTAGATGGGAAGCACACACGAAAAAGAGGACGATGTTCCGGCCTAGGTAAGTTCGGCGCCGTGTTTCGGCGCACTTCCCTTTTTCTTCCGCGAGTGTACCTTCTTTTCCGTGAATGATTTGCTAAATGCCCTCTGCTACGTTTTTTCCAGCAGCTCCCTGACAGCTGCCGTCAATGAGCTGGAGTTGCCGGATGAGGGCGGCCGCGGTGCCAGTGGCAGCAAGGTCGCGACCACAGCTACTACCAGCACGCAGCAGCCAGGAGCGAAGGTTTCCTCCAGCGGGACAGGGCCCTTGCGCATGACCACCAGCGGCGAGCCGCCAACGCCGGATCTGCCTGCCATGGGCGCCTCGCGCACGGGTGGCACGAACCCAGGCGACGGCACGGGTCCGGGCGTGGGTGCAGCACCAGCGGCAGGAGCGGCATCACGCTCGAGTCAGGGTGCTTTTGGCTTTGTGGCGCCTCTGGGGGCGCAGAACGCCTCCGCCGGCAGCCGGGGGACGTCGGCGGGCATGTCGTCCCTGCGCCGCAGCAAGAAGTACGACGACGAGTTTGCGGACTTTGACCTGGTGGACGAGGACGAGATCGAGGAGGGCGTGCCGGAGGAGGTGGGGCCCCCCGGCGGCCGCGTCAGTACCGAGCTGACGCCGACGGCCTCGGCCAAGCTGATTCCGCCCAGGGGTCCAGCCGCGGCTGCTGCCGGCGGGGTCGTTGCCACTGGTGGCGGCAGCGGCCTGAACAGCAGCCGAGACGGCGCCGGCGGCGACGCGTCTTCGCCGTTGGTGTTGACGCACCATCGGCGCTACCCTTCAGACCACGACAACGAGGACCCACAACCTGCAACAACGCAGCGTGAGCCGACCGCGTCGGGGCCAGCCTTGCGCGCAGTAAGCCCCGTCCAGCAACAGCAGCCACAGCCGGTGCTGCAGGTGCAGCGTCAGGCGTCAGCGCCGCGGACGCTGCCAGAGCTGGAGCAGCGGCCTGCTGGGGGAGCAGGAGGCGGCACAGCCGCCGGGGGCGTCGGTGGCTCGGGAGGCGGCGGCGGATACAACCGCGAGGCGGAGGACCCGCATGGGCTGCACCACCGTGATGAGGACGAGCTGATGCGGCGTACGGCAGCGAGCGAGGCGGAGATGCGGCGGCGGGAGGAAGAGCGGCTGGGCCAGCTGCAGGAGGCCCTCAGCCGGCAGTACGAGGACGCCAAGGCGCAGCTGCAGAAGCAGGCAAGGGACAAATGCGAGGGGTGCAGTGGTGGTGGCGCGAGAGCTGTGGGCATGAACACCGCAGTAGCCTGTTGCGTAGCCGTGTGGTGTATAGCTCATTGCTGTATGGAAATGCCGAGCATCTGGGATGCCATGTTGGGGTGGGCTGGGCTGGGCTGCTGCCGCCGTCTGGATGGACTGGACTGGGAAACTGGGTGGGCCTTAAACTGTGTGTTCCTAGGGGCAGTGGCTAGCTTGGGCGATGGCCCAGAAGCGAGGTGGTGAGATGGTTGCCGAGAGGCTAGGGAGATAGATACCAGTGCCTGGGTTTGGTGGCTACTGCGGCGGCTGAGAAAGGGCTCGCCTCCAGAAGTGGAAGAACTGGAGGAGGGGTGGGCGATGTAAAAGGATGCTTTGCAGTAGGGGGCCTTATGCCTGGGAGGATGTGGGAGATGGGGGTCCCCGTGCGGCAAGGTTTCTTGATAGCTGATGGTAGCCCGCCCTTGTAGTCTTGTTGCACAACAACCTCAAAGCTGTTCTTGGGGGCTTTGCACGCGCGGGACATGTGCGTGCAGTGCAGTGCAACTTGGCCGTCGAGTCTGCAAGTCGAAACAGCCGGCTGCTTCGCGTTGCATGTCGACAACGCGTGTGCAGTGAAGGCTACAGCACAGCCGGCTGCTCTTGCAGGACCGCGCGCTTAGGAGGATCATCCTCTCAACACGTCGAAAAACGTCGCCAGTTGAAATATGTACTATACTATACCACTGCTACTAGTACTACTACTAACATTCCTGGAAATGATTCCCTCGTGGCGCTCTGGTCCTGAACCCATTCTGGTCCTGTTAATGAAGGAATGTATTTTTTTCCGGCTGTTTGTCCACAGGTGGATGCGGAGCTGGTTACGGAGCGTGAGCGGCTCCGTGCCCAGGGCATGGCTAAGCTGCAGGTAAGGCCGGGGATCAGGGGGTGCTTCAGGAGGTGGTAACCAAATGCAAAACAACGAAGGGTCAACTGCCGAAATCCAGGGGCAGCAGGGGAGAAAATGGGGTGATCCTGGGGTAGAAGGGCCATGCTGATGAGTACGGTGAGCAGCGATTTGGCGAAGCTTCCCACGGCCGTGCGCTGCATGTCGCATCGTGTCGTGTTGCACCGTGGGGCACCGGTGGTTGTACCGGGGCTTTCCGACGATGACCAGGTCTATGCGTAACATGTCACTCAGGATGCCCAAGATTGGTTTGTGTTGCCGCTTAGGGTTTCGCGTCGCGATCACCTCATGGACCAATGGACCGTCCCTGTTGTTGCAGCTCCCTTCAACAGTTCTGCGGCCCCATTTTTTGCCCTCCTCTTATTTGCCGCCGGCTCACTAATAATCGCCTGGACCAAAACGCCAGGAGCAACTGTCGGAGAAATCGCTTGAGCTAAGCAGGCTGGAGAGGGAGGTGGGTCGGAGCAGCACCTGTGGCCTGCTGCCCTGATTTCGACGGGATCTTGGGAGTGGGTTCAGGAAGGAACATCACAGGGGGAACACACCGGCACAAGGAGTGGAGTCGGAATCGGACTTGGCCTACATGGTGTTGGGTTGGTGCGTGCGTCCTGGAAAGATGTGCAGTATGGTACTCGAGAGCACGATGCTTTTTCTGGGTCGACCTTTTTTAATCCGCGACCCATATTTTCATGTGCGTGTACCTTTTAGGAGGCGGGAAGTGGGACCTTGATGTGCGATGTGGGGGAGTTATACAAGTTACAACTTCCGCACATGTGTGTAGTGGGGGGTATATCCGTGAAAGCCTCGGGGGCCATGGACGGTATTTCATATGCTAGGAGAAAACGGTCAACTGCCGGCCTTTCCGGCGCCCAAAGACCAACACTGCGGGAGACTCCTCCTCCCCCCGGTGAGGGCAGCGGGGTTACGAGCGTCCGGTCGATGTGTGTCGATGGTGTGTCCTTTTGGCGTCGTTCTCCTGCTGACTGAGGAGGAGAGAACGAAAAGGGGCCAGGATTATGTAAAAGGAAAAAAGAGAGAGGCAGGACTCGTTCCGCGTTGTCCTCCCACGGATTTTGCCTCATCTTAATCCTCCTCTCAAGAACTTGCGCCCCCGCTGTCCCTCCGTCGTTCTCCTGCTGTGACCCTCTCGCAGCTGGCTTCCAAGAAAGCTGAGCTTGTGGACTTCGAGGCCCGCACTCGGGAGCAGAAGCGGATCGTGGAGGACAACCAGCGGGAGCTGGTGCGTGGAGGGCGAGGTGGCGGCATGCATGCATGGTGTTGCTGTGCATGCATGCGTGTGAATCGATCATCGTTTTTGTGCTTAGCATTAAGCCACGGGAAACATACGCGCGGCCATGTATGTGTGCTAGGTCGTTGTTTCATAAACCTGAGCCGGTTCTTGAGACCTTAACCGACGTGTGAAGGAAGGGTGGCCTCTGAAGGAAGGGTTACGCCAGTCTGTTTCATGGTAAGGGAAAGGGAGGCGCCGACGCCCTAACCTCCCCTGCGTCCTAACTTCCCCGTAACCCCATCGGACCCTTCCCCTTGTTAACGAGGAACACAACCGACCTTTCCCTTATCAAACGGGACATAATAGGAACAAAAACACAATATATGAACAATTTCTCGATTTTACGTCGTTCGAAAGTCGCGGTCGCCTCGAGTGCGACAACTCCGCCGGCCGACGTGCGTAGCTGTACCCTCCTTCCCGCCCTTTTGCTTTCCACGTACGTCATTTGTCTCCCTCCCCTTCATTCATATCGGTGCCCATGCCGCGCCCGCCGCGCCGCCGAACAGTCCGCCAACACGCATACGGTCGCCCTGGCCGCTGCGGAGATGGAGCTCCGGGGCAAGCGCGCTGAGCTGTCGGAGGTGAATGCGCAGCTGCTGGCCAAGGAGGGCGAGTTCACCGCACTGGCCAGCAGCGCTGCGGGGAAGGCGGCGGAGCTGCGCGACAAGACTGCGCAGCTGGAGGTGGCCAAGGAGCAGGTGAGGAAGGGGTTATCAGGCGTCAAGGAAGCCCCTGCCCAGCTTAGAAAGCCTCACGAGCCATCACCCGAAAAACGAGATTATGAGGATAGTAGGGGGAGTGGGACCCCTTGCCTCAAATCTTATGTGGCGCTGCGCAGTACAGGTTGCTGGTATGCGCTGCGCTGCGTGCCATGCGGAGTTGGAACCGCTGCTGACGACGACTTGTGCACGTCATTTCGCCGCCTCCGTTTTTTCGTCTCATCGTGTTGTCCCCCGCCCAGGCCGCCGCCTCATTCCCCACGTCTTCTCCTCGTCGCGCTGTCCTGCCTCCGGCCTTAAATCTCCCTTCTTCCTGACGCTGACCCTGATCTGATCTTGTCCGGTATGACCCCGTTTCCTTATCCTCTTCTCCTCTTTTGCCCCAGCTCGCCCTGGCGGAGGCGAAGCGGGCCTCGGCGGACTCGGAGTACCAGGAGCAACAGATCCGCATCCGTGTGAGTGTCAAGGCGTAGCTGCGTACGCTGAGTCGTTCGTCCTAGCAGCAAGCATTCGTGTCTCGGGTTTAGTACGCGTGCGCGCTTATCAAAGCTTCGCCACTAAAAACAGTACCCCATGCCGGTCCGCGACGTGTGTGTCAGTTGGGACGTCTGTGGAGTTGGGGGAGGGCAACTGTGAGGGAAGTGGTGAGGTCGTGTCGCCGCACGTGAGAGCGGCGCCCTCGGACCTGCCGAACTTCTCTTTTCCCACTACTGACACCCCCACTCATGTCCCATTATTTTTCGAACTCGACAGTTGATTTGTTGCCCCTTGCATGCAACCCGCCCCTTCCTCTCCTTCGCAACTCCCGAGCAGACCCTCCGCGCGGAGTCGGAGCAGCTCACTGCGCAGGTGGCCTCCACTCAGGCGACCCTCAGCCGTCTCACTTCTGATCTACGGGACAAGGAGGATGACCTGGCGGCGCTAAACAAGCAGCTGGCGACAAAGCAGGCAGAGCTCAAGGTGAGAGCGCCGCTGGGGAACCGGGGTGGGCGGGAACGTTGTGGAGGAGAAGGGCAGGTGGGGAGGTGGGCCAGGGTATTGGGAGAGAAGGGACTCCTTGGGTCTCACAAGCCACCAGGGGTTGAGGAAGGGCGAGCAGCAGGGGTGGGGGAGTCCCGTGGGAGAAAGCACGGTCGTACGGTAAGGTACGAGTGGACGTGGGGAAGGGGTTACGGGGCTAGGGTGTAAATGCGTGGACGCTGCATGGAGTATCCACCGCGCGGAGAGATGCCTGTGTGAGGGTGTGGTTGAGGGGGGAGGGTACGGTTGAGGGGCTGCTAAGCGGTCCCGTGTAGCAGGGACCGTGCAAAGGTGCAAGCAGCGGCAGGCGACTTTGGCACCAACAAACCAGCGGCTTGGAGGGCCCTACACTTAATCCTTCACCCCAGACCCAGCTTTTCACGTCCACCCGGCTCGCGGACATTGCAGGAAGTTGTCATGGAGCTGTCTACGTCCCGTACCGCCCTGCAGTCCAAGGTGAGAGGTGTTCCTACCCGCGCCTGCGCCTCTGGCTACTCGGACGACCCGTCGGCGCCTGCCTCTATGCCTATCAGGTTCTGTGCCTAGTCTCTGAGGCCTTCAGCCGGAGATGGCCTTCCCAGTCCCCACGCGAATGGGAGTTCTCTGGCTGGTTTGCGTTGCTCCGCGCGATGTGCCCCCCTAGCGTGCCCACATATCCATGCTCCTTCCCACCCTCACCTCGCATGCCGGGTCCGCGGTGCCCAAACGCCTCCTTTTGCCTTGCGGTTCCCCCCTCATTTGCGGTTCCCCCCTCATTTGCGGTTCCCCCCTCATTTGCGGTTCCCCCCTCATTTGCGGTTCCCCCCTCATTTGCGGTTCCCCCCTCATTTGCGGTTCCCCCTCATTTGCGGTTCCCCCTCATTTGCGGTTCCCCCTCATTTGCGGTTCCCCCTCATTTGCGGTTCCCCCTCATTTGCGGTTCCCCCTCATTTGCGGTTCCCCCTCATTTGCGGTTCCCCCTCATTTGCGGTTCCCCCTCATTTGCGGTTCCCCCTCATTTGCGGTTCCCCCTCATTTGCGGTTCCCCCTCATTTGCGGGGCCCCGCTCAGGTCGATTGCGTCGTGTGTCTATGTGACACACCTGGCCTCTGGGATAGCTCGCACTGATGTCCTCCATGGCGACGAAACTACCTGATTACACCATGATTTGTAGTGATGCATCCTTACCCTTACCATCTTTCCTCCTTTAATGTCGCGCGCTTGTTTGATCACGCTGTACTTCTCGTACAGGAAATCCAAGTGGTGGAGCAGCTCAAGAGTGCGGCGACCCTGGAGTATGAGGGCCTGCAGAAACAGCTCGAGGTGTGTAGCGATATGGGGAACGGGAAAGGGACTGGAGAAGGATGACGGGGAAGCGTGGACACGGGAGGGCTATATAGGCTTTTTGCTTGCTCAGCTGTCCTCCCAAGCTTGCGGCCCCTCTGTCTCCCACCCATTTCCCCTCGCTTTTCGCTTGTCGTTTTCTCAGAAGATGGGCCCTCTCCACCACCACCCCGGTCTCTCTCTCTATCCTGCCCAGGCCGCTCGCGGTGCACTGGATGCGGCCCGTGGTCAGTTGGCCACCGCCTCAGCGGAGCTCACCCGGACTGAAGCGCAGTGCAGCGCCCTCAAGGTAATAGCTGTGGCTGTGAGGGTTGTGGGGGGGGGAGCGGAATGGCGCCGCAGCGCACTGGAAAGTGGACATATCCGGGAAGGAGCCCCAGTTGTTCCTGTCCTACACCTCCTTCCCTCGTACCCCGTCCTTCCACCGGTCGCGTCCTCCCCCCTCCTTCCCTTCCTCATTCATTCAAACACACAACTACCACCACCTCCCTCAGACCCAGCGCATCCAGTTGGAGGCGGACGTGGCGTCTCGCTCCGCCGAGCTCGACGACATGCGATCGCAGCTGCTGGCCTGTCAGGCGGAGTTGCGCTCCGTGAGGAACGAGCTGGCGGAACGCTCCACGGCGCTGGAGTCCGTGGCGACGCAGCTCCTGCGGCGGCAGAAGGAGTTGGCGGACACGGACTCCATGTTTGCGGCGGTGGCGGACCAGAGTAAGGAGTTTTTTTCCCTTTTGGGGCCGTTGGGCTTGGGGTTGTACTCGTGGGCAGATGAACAGTGGATGGTTGGATGGGGGTGGGTGGATGTGCTCTGATGGACGAATGAACGGATAGATGGACTATAGGAAAGGCGGGAATGCTTCACGCGGCTTTGCCTTGGCATGCTTCCTTTTTCATGAGGATGATATGCTGCTTCATGTCTGCCGCTGCTCCGAAACTACTGCTGCCTGCTGCTGCTGCGTACCTTCCTATGCTGCTGTTGTCTCCTCCTGTTTAGGCAAGGACTTGTTGCAGCTGAAGCGCAGTCAGATGCAACGCAATGTGGAGGATGCGGTGGAGCTAGAGCGCCGTACATTTCTGGCGTCACGCATGGCGACCATGCGAGCGGATGTGGAGGCGCAGGTGGGAAAAAGGGGAGGAGTGGGGATGCTGGACAGGACCAGAGCAGGAGGGGAAGGTGGGGGAAATACAGGGGATGGTAGGGGGGGAAGGGGGAAGAAGAAGCAGAAGAGGGAGGGAGAGAAAAAGAGATACCAGAGTTCCTTAAGGTGCTGTAAAGGGCATGTACCCTTATTGTCACGCGGGCACGCGGGCACTTCCTCTCTTTCCTCTGTCTTTCCTTTTTTATGATGCCCTCCAATTCCCCTGACCTGCCTTGTTCCCTAAATCTCACCTAAATCTCACCGGCAGGTCGCCTCCGAGCGTGAGGTCTACCGCCACCGGCTGCTGCAGCAACAGCAGTCGCCATCGTTGGCGTCTTCGCACAGCACAACGGCCGTACCGCAAACCGGCCGCGGCACCGCTGACGAGCCGCAGGGCACCCTCGTCGGTTTGCTCTCCGACGGGGCCGCACCCAATGGCACCACCACTTCTCCACAGCTGCTGCCGCCGCCGGCCAACCTGACCGCCTCCACCGCCCTGTCACGTGGCACCCTGCCTGTCGGCGCCTCCATTACCACCCTCGGCGATGATCTCCGTGCCTCCACTTCCATCTGGGCTGGGCCCATGCCGGCGCTCAGCCCCAAGCTGCCTGGATCATTGCAGCAAGGTGCCTTGGGCGGCGGAGGCGGAGGCGGCTCCGTCTACTCAGGCGCTCCCCCGTACGCCAAGATGCCAAGCCACCACATTCCGCCGGCCCTTGTCCTGCCGTCAGACTCGCAACTTGCGTCGCAGCAACATTCCGCGCCGTTGCCAGGGACGGCGGCGGCAGGGCTGTACGGGCTGCAGCTGCAGTACGGGATGTCGGGTGCATCGCCTGCCGACCTGGCGGCAGCACAGTACGCGGCGGCGATGGCGGCGCAGAGCGCGGCTGTGGCGGCTCAAAGCGCTAATGCCAACCTGCCTGAGCTCGTCAGTCTGGCGGAGAACCTGCACCGGAGCCTGCAGCTGCTGCTACCGCGTAAGATTGGAGAGGGAACGGACACAGAACGGAGGAAAGGGGAGGGAGTTTTAATCAATAAATCAACGACGTATTGGGGAGTGGCAAAGGATGAAGACGCGGGAGAGCGCATGGACGGTACTCCTCGGGTCCTGGGAGTCGGCGGGCCCGGTGCGAAGGAGTAAAGCAGCCGGGAGTCGGCGATGTCGTGTCGTCGCGGTCTCGTATGTGAAGGGAATAGGGAGAGCGGGACGGAGTACGCGTCGGCAGCAGTAGCGGCCACCGCAGTGCCTTGTAGCCTAGGATTAATGGTTTTCGTGAACCCCCCCGTCGGTCGGTCGGTTGGGAAGCCAGCCGGTGGGTCGTCCAATAATAATATCGACCCGCCTCTGGGGGAATTTCATGAACACCTGTTGGTATTGAAAAAGGTGACCACGTACACTTGCGTACATGGAAACGAAAAAGACCTTTTCCTCTCGACAGACCTGCTGCTTAGCACTGTTAAGGACCCTCCTCACATTCCCTGTGGAGGTTTAATATTAACGTCATTACCCTCCTGCCTGCCTGCCTTGTCTGCCTGTGTTTGTGTGAATACCTCTTATCACTCCGACTCCCATTCCATCATGCGTGAGACCGCGCCCACCCGACCTACGACGTGTGTGTTTCTCTCCCCCTTGCCCAAACACACACGCATGCGCACACACACAACCACCAATGCGCCTCCCGTGTCTTGGCCCCTCCCCTCGCTACCCCAGTCGCCTCCCAGGCCAGCAAGCAGCCACCTGGCGGCTCCACCTCGCCGCAGCGGACCCGCCACGCCAGCTTCTTGCAGCCGGGGCAGTTGCCGCCTCAGCCTATTGACTGGAACACTGCGGTGCTCCCACCAGCCGCTGCTGAGGACCCGGTGCTGTCTAGGGTGAGTGGGGGGCCTTGAGGACGCGCGCGAGCAGGGGGCTCCCCAAGTACAACCCAAAAAAGCTATATCTTTTGAGAGAGGCTATAAGCCCGACGGACGGGAATATAAACTGATTGTGCGTCCCGGGAGTCATATTAGTTTCTTCTGATTAATAGGAAAAAATATTCAACCTCGTAAAAATGGCCACCAGTTCACTGGTGGACTGGTACGCGTGTGGGGCCGCGCATTCCTTTCCAACGCGGTGAACACCCCGCAACAGCCTGATGACTTCCCCGCTGCGCACCACCTCGCATCTCGCACCTCACACCTCACACTTCGCAGGCGTGGGTGTACCTGAAGCTCCAGAAGGCCTACTTGAAGGAGCGCTCCACCATCCTGCAGGCGGCGAGGAACGACTGGAAGGTGAGTGCCTGTACGGCGAGCACGGGGGCAGGTAGGCGTAGTGAAGCGTGTGCCCCGGCAGAGGCGGGATGACGCAGGTGACGACTGAGACTGCTCCGGAGCCGCTGCGAGCCCTTTCGACTCACAGATCGAGGCCGGCTCATTCTCATCCTTTTACCATTTTCACCCTCAACCACACCCCTGGGGGAAACGGGTACTCCACCCTGCGCCCATTGATGCGTTCTCGCGTCTCGGGCTTTCTGTTCTGCAGTCCACGTGTTGTATGTATGTTGTTACAGGTTGGTATAGCTTCACCAGCGGCCCCCTTTCCCTTCCCTGCGCTCCCCTGCGAGAGGGGCACCCTAATCCATTCACCCCATCCGACTTCAGAATGTATTACTTGGGTTCAGCAACTCACCACCAGCATCCAACGAAATCTAGCGGATCAACGGCGCCTCAACTTAGTTCCTGGTCAGCTCGCAAGTTGATATAATCACGTCCTACACCGTCCACAAGATGGGGGGCCACCTCCCAATTCAACACCCCTCACACACACCGAGAGGTCGGCAGGCGGATTTGTATGCTTGCATCTTGTTCATTTTGCTAAGATGCTGACCCTAGTAATCATTCAACCATAAGCAGCCCACTTCACACCACGTGGTCGTGTGTCCTGTCCCGTCCCATGTCTTCTCGTCCCGTCTCGTCTCGTCAACATTCTACCCCGCAGCCCCCCGGCCTCCCGGGCTCACCAACCCGCACCCGCTATTGTTGTCCGTTTGTCCTAAAAACCCCGTCGGCCGCCCTCGCCTCTCCTTCCCCCCTTTTGCCCCTTAGGAGGACCTGCGTGCCGTCATGTCCAGTCCGGGTCCGGGGAACGAGGAGCGGCTGGCGGTGCTGCAGAGCGCCAAAGCGGGCCTGGAGGAGCAGGTGCACCGCCTGAATGAGGACAGCAAACAGGTGTGTGCATGTGTGTTCTTAAATAATGAACCTTGGGTAGGAACTGGCAGTTTGGCACACGGGCAACTCAGCCCGCGAAAGAGAAGGTAGGCGCGCGCGTGTGTGGGTGTGTTCGTATCCCCGTGTGTGAATGCAGGCAGGGTGGGATGACGGTTAGGGGGCTGTCCCTTTCTGGGCTTAGGTTTTCCATATCCGCTTCCTTCTCCTCCTAACTGAACTCCCTTTCCCTGGTACTGTCTCCCGCCGGCCGCCTCATCAGCTTCATCGAATGCGGGAGCAGCTGCAGGCCCTTTCCACCAAGACCGCGCCGTCAGGGGCAGCGGCTACGGGCAGTAGTACTAGTGCCGGTGGCGGCGGTAACGGCCCCAGCGCGACAGTGGGTACCGCTACGGGCGTCCCTAGCCCCGCCGCCGCCGGCCGCATCCCCGGTCTCAATCGTCAGGGCTCCCCGGGGCGCGGCGTGTCGCCGCCGCCTTCGGGCGCGATGGGAGGTGCTGGCGGCAGCAGTGGCGGCGGCAGCAGCGGAAATAACGTTGACCTGGCGCGCTCGCTGTTGCAGCAGCACAGCGCCTGGCTCAAGAGCTTCACTCAGCAGTTGTCTACCGTGTGAAGCCCTCCCCTCCCCCCCGGCATCGGCGGTTGATATATACCATCTCCGTTTCATTCCTACGGCCATGATACAGCCTTGCGTGTTACTGTCTCGCATTTTGCACACATGCATTTCCCCTACTGGGCTTCCGAATCGCTCTGTTGTCGTGGGGTGCGTGTGCGGGAACACAACGATTGACGTTACTTGCGATGTGCGACGTGGAGAAGAGGATGGCAGGGAGGTGTGGGAAATGGATTGGGCGTTGCTGCTGCTGCTGCTCCCGCCACAACTGCCCGGACGCACAGCCGGTATGTTGGTGGTAACGGCACGGGCAGCGGCATCAGCAGCGTGAAAAAAGGATGTCACCCTAACGGGGGACCCTATAGACCCGTGCCCATTGGTGGTTGTGATGATGGTGGATGTGTGACGGTGGTGGTAAGACTGCGACGGATGCGTTCCTATGGCTGGGTGCCGTGTGTCATCTGAGTGGGGGGATCTGCCTGAGAGCTGTGGTTAACCGGGTAACTCTCTGGTGGATTCGTTAGTATACCCGGTGAACATCCATATTGCACATTTTGACACGCATCGTACCCGACCGATACAGGCCACACGGCGACACGGCACATTGTTTATTTCAGGGATTACCTTGCGAGGCCCGGGTCTTTCTGTGTACATTCTGTGCAGAATCTACCGGCCCGTCTGAGTCCAGTTGTGTGTGACGGAGCAAGCGACCCATCGTATTTGAATGATAGAAAGTGGAAAATGGATGAGTTTGTCTTTGTGTATGCGCCGTCCCGTTGGATGGGGAGGGGCCCTACATATGAGCCCTACATGACGGGGGCGCCCATGCAGATGAATACCTGCAGCGCTGACGCTGTGGCTCGCGGGGCGCTCCGGGCCCCCCCCCCCTGCTGCCTGCTAATGATACCATATTACTGAAGATCTATATAACGAATTATACCAGTGTGATGATTTCGCTCCATGGATGGTGATTGAGCATGCATTACGCCTTGCTGTCACTTGGCGTGTTGGACACGAGCTGTACGGCGTACGTGAGTTCCTGTGATGGACCGTATGACCTTAGGGGGATAGTTGCGGCGTGTTGACGGCACCCACCACCACCACCGCCATCACATTACCACGACCACCGTCACCACCACTTCAGCATTTCGCATACGTGCATGCACGACACGACTATTTCAGTGCACTACTCATATGGATTTGCGCTGATGCTTGATGTGTGTGTGTGTGTTGATGTGCGCGCTTTGCTGGCGCTCCTTGTTCGCAATCGCTTGCCCATTTGAAGTGAACAAGGTGGAACAATGCTGATATTTGGGGGTGAGGGTAAATGCGGGTTACTTTGGATGCAAACCCCACATCTCATCCGAACGTCTGCTCCAGGTTGTCTAGGCGACGTGCTGCGGGATTCATTAGTTGAGCGAAAACCAACGCCATAACTTCACCACCTCTGCCAACCCCTGCGACTCGTGCACATCGGGCACCTCTCCCAACTACCTGCAAAACACTGTAAAGAGGTTCCGTTTCCATACACTGCTTTGACCGTATTCGAGTGTTAATCGTCCCCACAACAGAAAACAACAAAAGCGGCAGCAATCCTTGGTGACCCTAGCCGTGATTGCTGTGGTTGACGCGCTTCACGCCTCCTGGTCAGATGTGGTACGGCAGCTAAACGTGGCGTCCTGAATACAATGCAGTATCAGCAAAAGAGCTGTCAACTCAGCCATATTACCACACCACATCATCATCCACTCTACACACCAAGCGCCCCAGCAACCCAGAATCCTGGCCATCGCTTTGGCAACACAACCCTCCCCCGCACATACAGTCCTTGTCCAGGATACACTCACTTGGTTCAAACGCTCTCTCCTCCCCCCTCCCGGCCTCTCGCCGGACCGACTTTGCCCCTCCTCCTAAGCCATCCATAACACCGATACCCCCCTGCACCGAACCAAAGCCCCTGAGCAGCGCAACATGAACGATAACACAATCGATAACAACAACTGTATGGTTGGCTTCGTCAGCGAAACGCGGGCGGCGATTGACATAACGGCATACAGCAAAGCCTCGTAGTACAATACCACGTATACTAAGTATTAGACATACATGCGTATAAGCACGGCGCGTCCACTCCTTCCCTCTCTGACCGTCGCCAGCCATCAGACCGCGGCACGGCCACCGCATCAGCAACAGCAGTAGCAGCCGAACAGCAGTAGCTCTTCCCATTCATCATATTGACAAGCACTGCCAAAGCACAACAGCAATTAATAACGAAAACAACACGACAAGAGGCGATGTACAGCAAAACGGAGTGGAGGGACGAAAGCGTTTTATCCTCACACTCAACCGCACTTCCTGCAGTGCCAGAGGTCATATAACCGTACATACAAAGATTGACATATGTTGGCAGCCCAGGTGTGCAAGGGTCTTCAAGGACCGTCGGGCATGCCACAAAAGAAAATCAAAAAGTCCTCTTGACTTCAATCCGTGCACTCGTCCACACGTGCAGGCCAACACGCCTATCAACAATGAAAGCCGTCCCAGCAATTCCGAAGCGCAGAAGCCACCCTCCTTCCCTCCATCAAGCAAAGGTGCCCCCCTAACACATTCCGAACGGACCGCCACCACCGCCATCACCTCAGTTCCAAGAAGGCCTAGGCAGGGGGGATTTCGAGAGTCACCTCGAATTCACTCCACTGTAAGCTAGAATATAACCACCAGACGGCCACACAACCACCCATTGATATCGTACCAACTGAAAAACCTCCGTAACTGACCCAAAACTCCCTCACCCGTCCGTTTCCCCACCCCGCCGCCGTCTCCAAACCCTCCCCTCGTCACCCTCCCCCACCCTCTCCTCCTCTGATCTCTCCGCTGCAACACATGGCTGTCGCACCTCCCCGTAATGCAACCTCTCCGCTCCCACCCACGAGCCCTTCCGTCGGAATAGACTTCAGCGCAGCTGTACCACATAGCCCCCTAGCTGGGTCCGGGGGATTTGGGGTGGGGAGTCTGTGCCTGGCGTCCGATGTCCAGCTGCTGCTCCTCATCCCCGGCATGACCCTCCGCCGCCTCCGCCAGTCTTCTCGCAGCCTCCCGCTGAGGCTGCCGTCCACATCCCTAGCACCCCCGCCCATCACCCACATGAGCCAATCCCCCGATATCCACACACACGAAAACCCCCACCACCACTCACTTGCTCCTTGCACTCTTGCTGCCCCCTCCCACACAAAGCGAGCTTGCGGCTCCATCCAGACTCTTGCCTTTCCTCACCTGCTCAGGTAGGACCAGTGCACAGCCCCCCCTCTGCCCTTTTCAACTCCGCATTCGCGTTCTCAACCCAACAACCAACCGTTATATCCTTTTCACACACGCGCCCCCAAGGGCCCCCCCCCCAACACCAACACAACCGCTACCTGGCCCCGCCACTTCACACGTCAAATCACCAGCTGCCCCTCCCTCTTCCTCTCCCGCCCAGCCGCAGCAGCAGCAGCAATGCCGCCGCTCCCCCCTGCCCCTACGGCCCCGCTGCCGCCTCCTGCATGCCTGGCCCCGCCGCCACCACCCCCACCCCCGCCAGCCGCCGCCGTCGCCGCACCCGCACCTGCCCTCGCTACTCCCCCTCCCTTGAGCTGCAGGTGCTGCAGCTGCTGCGTCAGCTCCGGGAACAGCCGTATCAGCAGCGTCGTGAGCAGTGAGTACGCCAGCTGCAATACGAATGTACGGCTCTGCGTCATGCCCCATACGTCACTCAGCGCGCGGGAGTATGTACGGGCGCCCACCACGTTGATGAGCATGGTGGGCGGGCGGGAGAACAACCGGGCTCGGACCTGCGAACGAAAGGAGGGAGGTGGTGCGAGCTAGTGCAGGGTGGGGAGAGGTTCCCGGCAGAATGAACTTGCCATCGGGCGGGGTGGGGCGCGGAAGGGAGAGAGGAAGGGGGGAAGGTTGTAGGAGAGAAGAGAAACAGGCAAACCGCCTCGTGACATTCCCCCGGACGGAAATGGCGCCCGGGAGAGGGAAGCGCCCTGGGAGGACGTATAAAACCCTAAACCCACTCCCACTACGACCCAGCCACTCCCGCTGCCACTGCAACCCACCCGGTCAGCCAGCTGTTGGGCATCAGGCGGCTGCGAGGAGGAGTCCAGGTAGGTGTCTGCGTGAATGGGCGGATTGGGCTGCCAGCGGGGGACAGCGGCGGCAGCAGGCGGAGGAGGAGGAGGAGGCGGGGGAGGAGATGGAGATGGAGATGTTGACGAAGGCAGGAGGGTGGGCCCAGGCGAGGAACCCGCCTCCGCCTCCGCCGCCTCCGCCGCTGGTGATGATGATGACGGCGTCGGCATCGGCTGCCCAGCGCCCCTGCCCGATGCTGCGGCCGTCGCTACAGCAGACCTGCCGCCGCCAGCGGCGAAAGGAGGACTTCCGCCGCCACCACCACCGCTACCATCACCACCTCGAGCAGAACCGCGGCTGGCGCTGGCCACTTCGCGATTAGGCTGGGGCGGCGGCTGTGGGTACTGGCTCCTATCCTGTTGTTGATGTTGCTGCTGCTGCTGCTGTTGTTGTTGCTGCTGCCCAAACGAGTACCATGCGCCCCCCGGAAACAGGGTTCCGTGCAGCAGCAGCAGCAGCCGGGCCAGGTGGTGCTCCGAAGTGAGGTCCCTCAGGCGAGTGGTGATCCAGCTGTCGATGGCGCCACCCGCGAACAGGGACAGCCCCTGGCGGGTCACGGAAATCACCTGGGGGAGTGGGGGTGGGGGTGGGGGTAGGGGGGTGATGGGGCAGGGTAAGGGTGAGAACCCGGTGGAGGATTAAATAAATCCGCAGATGCCAATGATGAAACCGAAACCGCGTACTTAGCGAAAGTGGGAACAGGGAGTGGAGGAGGAGCAGTGTACGCGGTGGAGGAGAATAAGGGCGAGGCAGGACAGCCCCATAAGGGCAACGAGTGTCCCAGGACGAGGACGAGGACGAGGATGCCGACCTCGTGGGGGCGGCGGCGGCGGCGGCAGCGGAGGTGCGTGCAGGGGGATGCCGCCGCGGTGGGGGTTTTAGGGGTTCCAGAGGGCCTAACATTGCTCTGGTAGCGTGGCCGCGTCATGGCTGTCCATGGATGCACAGTGGTGGTGAAGGTGACGGTGGCGAGGTGTGATCTGGCGAGGTGTGTACACTGCAAGGTCCCTCCGTCATAGCGCTAACAAGTGAACCTCTGCAAAGCGCTACCCATCCCCCTCCCCGTGCCCAGTCCCGTTCACACCTGCCGCCGGAAGAAGCCCTGACCCTGCAGGCCGAATAGCACGTCAATCAACTCGTACAGTGGAGCGCTGACGCCAGAAGCCGAGGCCGTCGCTACGTCTTTCCCCACTCCGATGGCGGCGGCCGCGGCGGTGGCGGACGAGACGTCGCCGCCGTCGCCGCCGCCCAGCGGCGGCGAGGGCGGCCGCGCCGGCGCCGGCCGCGGCGGCGGCAGATGTGTGGGCGCAATCGGGCTGCTCGGTGCACTGAAGACCTTCGCCGCACTGGTGCTGGACGCGGCGGCGGCGGCGGTGGTAGCGGAGGCCGCTTGTGTTCGTGTCGTACACTCCTTGGAAACCGCAGCCTGCGAGTGCCACCTCGCACCTCCACCAACACCACTGGTTGCTGCTGTCACTGCCCGGAAAGTTGAGCTCGTTCCGGGTGATCGATGGGTGGCCAGCGCAGTGTCAATGCTAGGACGCAACGGCAACGGCAGCGGCACTGTCGTGACCGTTGCGGCTTCGGGAACAGGGCTTCGGTGTAGGGCCGCAGGGCTGCCGGCGCCGCCAGCGTCCGCGATCGTCACACCCGCCACACCCCCCGGTCTCGACGGCGGGTGCAACGCAGAAGCGGCTCGGCCAGGTACCTCCGACGCTGCTCCGCTGGCGGCGGCTGTAGCAGGTGCTTCGGAGGTCACCGGCGTCAGCGGTAAAGGTTGGGCTTGGGCATCACGGGACGGCGCAGTAGCACTGGGGGGTGGTGGACCTGCAGCGGTGGTGGCGGCGCCCTGGGCCCTTAACTTACCGCCAACGCTACTGAGGCCGCCGTTGGCGGCGCCGGCGTGCCAGGACGCGCCGCTGGGGCACGGCGACGACTCAGCCGTCAGTGATGGCGCCGTCGCCGTGGCCGTCACCGTCGCGGTGACGGCGGACAAGGAGGCGGACGTCTTGCTGCTCCCGTCAGGACATCCCGGTTGCGGCTGCTGGTGGGCCTTATGGCGAAACCGCGCCCTGACGGACGGAAAGCTGAAGGAGCTGCCGCCACTGCCTCCCCCGCCGCCAGTGCCCCAGTTCTGTAGACCAAACCGGAACCCTACACCTCCCCCAGAGCCCTGTGACGTTACCGCCGCCGCCGGCGGCGGCGGCGCCGCCGCCACCGCAGGGACGTCGGCGGGTGGCAGCGTGGTCAGATCGTCCTCCTCCTCCTCATCCAGCAGATCGTCGTACTCTTCAGACCAGGAGCTCAGCCCTGCTGCCGCCACTGCTGCGGCCTCAGCGCCGCCACTCCCGGGAACACCAATCCCAACAGGCATCGACGACTGTGGTGGTGGCGGCGCCGCCGCCTCCGCCGCTGCCGCTGCCGCTGCAGCGGCAGCCGTGGCGGTGTTGTCGTCGCGGCGGCCGAGCCATGCAAAAGGGCGGATGCCGCCTCCGCCTCCGCCTCCGCCGCCAAAGGCCGCCAGCGGTGCCACGCGCTGCTCGGCGGAGCGGCGGCGGCGGCTGTTGGGTCCCTTCCGCAGCCCCCTCAAATCCAGAGCCACCCGTTCCAGGAGGTTACGGCCAGCGGAGGCGGAAGCGACGGCAGCGGCAGTGTGCGACAGCGGCGGCCCCAGCAGTCCGGCTAATGACGCGGCCAGCGAAGGCGCCGTTGTCGCGCCAATGGCGCTGCCGTCTAGGGCATTGCTAGCGGCGGTGTGAGCGGGCGACGGGTTCGGAAGCAGGAACTCCTGAGGGCGGCAGCGGTGTGTTTGAACGGATTGGGACGGACGGACGTGTTAATACTTGGCTGGCCGGATTAATGAATGCTTGACTGAATGTGGGTGGCGCTACGACGGCTACGAGGCTGCGAGGACGTCGTCGACAGCTGACTCCCACTCACCTAACGTCAAAAACACATGACTTCCCACCCCACCCCACCCGAACCCACCCGCTTATCTCCCTCCCCTACAAACCCCATACGGGCCCCCCCTACCCGGGCATTGGCCCTTACACTTCGTCGTAGATTTCCCGATTATTTTGCAGCAGTGCCGTAACACTGTTCGATATACCTTTTCGTCTTCGCCGCCTTCATTTCAACACTTTCCTTTGCTTTGCTGCTTTCTTTTTTACGACTTTCCTTTCATCTCGCCGGCTAGGTAATTTTTCCCGCTTTTTAGCCTTCTGCATTTCTTAAAACTTTGGGCAGCTAGTAAGTAACTCGTCTCGCAACCCAGCTATGGCCACGTCGCCTGTGGCCAATAAATGTCCCAGATTCAGCTTTTGCCTTCTTCTCCTGGACTATCCGTCTATCTCTGGTACGTATCATACTCTTGCTTTTTTTATTTTATTAATTTGAAAAAAGCAACCAGAAGATAAATCTGTTTCATTCGCCCGTGGTTCGTCATTTCTCATCTTCCCCCCTGCCCAGTGTGGCACCTTCTGAAGCCCATTGCGACCCACCCACCCACCCGCAGCACGGGGCACTCCGCCAGCTCCCGCACCCCGAGCAGCTGTTGAAGGTAGGCGTCCAGATCGGCGCGGCGGCTGTTGATGAAGGCCACGTCAGCAGTGTGCACGAACAGCCGCTTGGGCGGCAGCGCCCGGACCAAGTGCGCGTACCTACCCGGCCGCGTGCCGGTACGACAGCAAGCCATGTACGGCACGTACGAACGAAGCGGTTCGGGGTTAAGGACATGACCGATAAGAAGGAAGAAGGTTTGCGTGAACGCCTGGGACCCACACCTCCACGGCAATGATGTACGTTTGTATGTCAGTATGTCCGCGTTTTGTGTGTTTAATTTGTACAACGGCCGGCGGCTATATATATCTCCCGCCCATGCCGCCTGTCGCCGCTGTACAATCCTACCCTACCCTACCCTACTCCTGTACCCTACCCTACCTTGGCATCGCTGCAGCCAGTTTGACTGCCATGGCCTCGAAGCTCCGAAACCTCCTGGCCACCGTCCACTCCTCTCCACTGTCCACATCCGCAACCCGGATCTTGTACACCACATATTCGGCCGTCAGTCCGAACCCCAGGGGCTCCGAAACCATCTCAAATGCCGCCACGCTGGCGCGAAACCAACAACAACCGCTGCCACTGCCGCCGCCACTTCCTGCCGCGGCCGACGTAAGAAGCGGCGAAGGCTTCAACTCTTGTTGCTGGTGCTGTGACTGCGGCGGCAGCGGGGGTGGCGGCAGAGACTGTTGGTGTTGGTGTTGGACACGAACATCCCCCTGTTGGTGCTGGTGCTGGTAGTCCTGGTTGTGGTGTGCGAGGTGCTCATGAAATGTTGTTTGCTGGTACGAGTCGTGATGACTATAATGATGATTATGATGGTGGTGATGCGGGTGTTGGTCGGGTGATCCATCCAGGAGGTCCACCTGCTGCTGCTGCTGCTGCGGCGGCGGCGGCGGTTGCGGCGGCGACAGCGGCAGCGGTTCCGGCCCCGGTCTCTGCCACGGCAGCATTAACCCGCCGCCAAAGTCAAAATCGAACCAGGCCAGCGAGAACGACGCCCCGCCGCTGCCGCTGCCTGTGCCGCTGCCTGTGGCGCCACCGCTGTGGGTGGGCTTCGCAGCCGGCGCCGCCGCCGCATCCGAGCTGCACGACCGCCGATGCACCCCGCTACTGACGCCGCGCCCGAGGGCCCTCCGGGTCTCGGAGCCCTCCTCGTTCAGCTGCACCTGAGAGCAGAAGCCTGTGCGCTCAGAACCGCTGCCGCCGTCACCGTCGCCGCCGCTGCGGCGATAGCGGGGATCCGGCGGCGGTGGCGGTAACGGTGGTGTCGCGGCCGCCGCCGCCGCCAGCGGCCGCTGCTGTCCGGACAGCGAGGAAGGTTGGCTGCTGCCTCTGCCCCCCGCCAGGCCGTACTCCTGAGGCTGCTGCTGCACGGGATCCTGTAAGTCCATGCCGGCGTGGTACGACGCCGAGAGACCCCGGGTCAGACATCCCGGAGCACCTTCCTCCCCGGAGTAACCGCCGCCGCCGCCGCCGCCGCTGCCTCCCCGGCTACTGCGGCCGCTGCCGCCGCCACCGCGGTTGCCGCTGCCGTTGCCGGCCCCAGCGGAGTACAACTCCGCATTGGAAACGGACTTCCGCACTGTTGGAGCTGATCCGGCGGTTGCGCCAGTTGCTGTCGTGGCGGTGCTGGTGGTGGCGGTGGTGCTGGTGGACACCACCGCAGGTTGTCGGCTGCCCGAGTGCTGCCCGAGCGGGCCCCCAGCGTGCTGCTGCAGGTCAGCGGAACGCGAGTATGTGTGATGGTGATGGTGATGAGTGTGGACCTGCGGCGGCGTTGCAGCGGCTGCTGTTGTTGCGGCGGCGGCAGTAGCGGTGGTGGATGCAGTGCGGTCGGCGCGGGAAAAGAAGGCTGCGGAGGTGCCGGAGGTGGATGTGGACGCCGCGGCGTAGCTGTCGCTGAGTCGATGGCGGAGAAAACCGGGCTCCACCTTGTTACTGCCGTAGCCGCCGTTCCCGCTGCCACCGCCGCCGCCCCCGCTGCTGCATCGTCTGGGGGTTACGTAATGTAGCAAGTGG